TAATTTTGAAAATTACTTGATTTCTATATAATTTCAATCAAAACTTAAAGGGTAAGAGCATTTTACCTTAAATTGAATGTAATTTCTTTAGTTTTGGTATATTATTAATTTACTTGCTAATGGATAATACTTTTTCCTTTAAAACTTTGTTTTATTTAAATGAAAATAATAATAGTAAATATATAATAATTAATAACAAAAATTTACATTCATAAAAAAGTCCTAATTTATCTTTTTGGTGCAAAAATTGTGAGTCATAATGTTTTTGTTATTTATAAATGATTTGGCATTGTGCATGGAATTAGATTTGTCTTTTTATAATTAATTAATTTGTAATATATTATTGTTTATAATAAATAAATTTTCAATCGATTAGTAATTTATTAATGAAACTTATCTCTCATAAAAATTGATAAAATTATAATATTTGTATTGTATCTATAAGGTCCAAATTTTGTATCCCAATAACTCAGGGTTGCAAATAGTTTCAAAAATTAATGAAATGATTTTAAAAGCTTAAATCATTTTTTATCTTTGGAACTTTGATAAATTGTAATTGATACAATAATCATGCCTCAAAGTTATTTGGAAAAATAAGTTAAAGAATTATTACTTCAAACATATCTGATTTTGAATTTTATAACTTTTTAAAGAATCATTAGAAAGTTTTATATGGTTGAAAGATGTTCAAATATTTTATTTGTATATTATGAGCTCAAACATGATAAATGTTCAACAAGATACGATAGAAATACAGACCATGTTTTGAAATCTTGAGTATTTTTAGCATATTTTTAAAAATATTTAAAATTTTGACATAATGTCTAAAAAGTTCAAATAAGTTTTTATTCTTTTATTATATTAATCAAGTTATTATATTTTTATTCTGAGTCAAGTAAGTTTTTATATTTTTATTTTGAGTCAAATTATTACTAATGGTTGATTTAATTAAAATATTATTCTTCATTTTATACCACATGATACTAATATGACATGTTGACATATCATATTAAATGATGATGTGACATAATGACATGACTATAAATACTTTTCACTTTCTATATCAACACCATATCCACGTTATATGGATATAAAATGACAAGTAATTATTTTTTTATTGTAATTAGTCAATTATTAATTATAAAGACTTACTTGATCTAAAATAAAAATATAAAATTTAATTAAATATAATAAACTAAGAGTTTATTTGAATATTTTTGAATAAATCAACAGTTTCTTTTGAGTATTATGTCTAAAATATTTTAGTCAAACTAGTTTCATTTGAAAATTTGACTCTCTAATCTTCCAAAAAAAATGCACTTAATTTCAACATTTAAGACCGTGGAAGTTAGACTTATGAATCTAGAAAATGGAATGTCAATGGACATGTGATTAAGTTGATTTTAATTCAAATTTCTTTGAATTATCTATCTAAACTATCTTAGAAAATGATAAATTTTATGGATAAAATTTGAAATTTTGAAATATTTCATTAAATTCAGGTCGTCCATGGCCTTTGGTCCAAATCTTCAATTCTATTTCACTTCAGGTATAAATTTATTTTAGTTCTTTTTCATGAATGTGTATCTTTTACTAACATATATATATATATTTCAAGTCTTTCTACACTAAATGTAAACAAATTGAAAATTGATCAAAACATGAACTTATTATCAATTTCATTGTTATGATTATGATATTTCACATCTTAACAAAAAGTAACATCACTTTTTATGATAGTCGGAAAATAATCAGACTATGGTGCTCATATACCTACAGAACAATCAAACAAGTCTGAAACCGTTACGTATACTATAGTAATTACAAGTATTATATATCCATCACAAAAAGAAATCTAAAGAAAGTAACAAAGTACGTAAGAAATATAGTTCCATAATATATTAGAATAAAAAAAGAAGATCCGATCTTATAAACAATGGTAGAATTAGGGATGGAAAGCAGAAGCCAGTGGATTAGGTACTTTATCACTATCTAACAGGGAATATAATTAAGCCTAATTCAACATGCTGTACTTCACCAACCTGCTTGTTAAAGTTGATAAGACCAATTAGTCACTGAGTGCACCTTCATTTCTTTTGTTGGTTTCCTTTTTGCTTTTTGCTGCTTCTTTTTTTTATTCTACTACATTGTTTTATTAGTCTAATTATATGTAGAAAGGAAGATTGATTCTACGCTGAAGAATTAGAAATACACAGCTAATAATAGTGGAAGGGAAGGATTCTGCATCGTTGTTTTATGCTCATCAGGTGAATGATGGCCATTTTGTAAGTCATGGAGGAACAGTGGAGAATGGGGGTCAATGGGCCATCCATGACCACTGATGTCCAAGGATAAGACAGACGGGAAATTATGGTCGATGACTGCAGACATCGAACCATGAAAATGAAATGATTTAGCTGCTAGCTAGCTAGCTTGTTTAACCCCATCAAATAATTACATTCCAACTTTTATACTACTCGGTCTGCGGTTCTGGTGGGCACAAATCCTTATTCCAATGAGCAAGAGAGGCTTCAAACTTCAAAGACTTTGGTTTGTTTGTTTGAAGTTTGAAACAATTAAGACAAATCTGGTGGTTTTCGCCAATGGTTTGATTTGTTTCTCAATGTAGCTTTAATCACCTAAGCTTCTTACACATGCTTCTTTTCAAAGAAAAATCCTAAACCTCCTTATCCCATATCCCTTTCATTTTAATTAAGATTCAAATCGTATAAAGACAATCCACTATTTTTATCAGCTAAATCATCAATCCTTTGCTTAGTGTATTGAAAAATTAATCTTTGTGTCTCATAATTGTCTATTTAGTAAATTAGATACAGTAATTAATGGTAAATTAATAATTGAGTAGGGTAGGAGCACGTGATGCCCATACCATGTCACGAGGAGAGAGCAACACGCGTCCATTTTAGTCCATCCTCACGTATGAAATGGACAAAAATGCCCCAGAGCTAAAGACAAAGGGGAGCAGGATAGCAAAAACAAACAAAATAATGAGTGCGGGACCCGCAATAAAATGGAAAGTGAAAATGGTTGTTGATGGCTTACTATTGGATCAAAGGGCGATTTAGTCATCAACTTCAACTATAGTTTACGATAAGCACGCCATCTGTTCTGCCGATACCTTATCATTTCCTCCCTCTATTTCGTGATATATTCACACTCTTTCACGATATTCTCTTTTTCAAAACTAAACACTCATTGCGCCGAGTCTCAACATCTCGAGCTGGGGAGTAAATGTTTCTTATATTCATAAATTAAATATATTTGGTCTTTGTTACTATTTGATACCCACTAAAATTAGTTAAGAAGCTAAACAAGGGTCAAAACATAAATTTCATCCTCAGTTAATTTGACAATTTTTGAATAATTTATTTTCACGAAGCATATATTTAGCTTGTGAATTTAAAGAATTTTTATAAGTATTTTGAGTAATAATTTATTAATTATATTTATAACTTTGAAAATTTGAAATGTTGATATGTTATCACACTTACAAATTATTGATGCCACCTTTAATTCTCTTTTTTCATTTTATTATCATCACATCATTCGAAATGAGCTGAATTTAATACAAATGAACTTGTATATATGCCACCTTTAATTAAAATCTTTTTAATTAGAAAAATTATATGAAAACATATGACAATAAAACAATTTAGTCACCCAAAATTACAAAATACCAATTTCCTGTTGCTTATCATTGTTAAAATAACTAAGGAGCCTTTTCATAGAAACAAAAATATTCAATAGTTTACAATTAATTGTAAGGATGAGAAATTCGATGGTTTGGTCGATCATATTTAAAAATTAAATAAATTAAATATTTTTTAAAAAATTGATTAAATATGAAAGAAGGCCAAACTGATTAATTATCGAATTGGTTTAATCAATTTAATTTTGAACCAATGTGTCAAAATTTTTTCATTTTTTTTACAAATTATAATATTAAAATTTATAAACTTTATCTATAATTATAAAATATGCAAATGATCCAAATATAAAAAATATATAACAATTATTGCTTCACTCACATAAATTATAATTATATCTTTTTTACATAAACTATCAAATTAACATTCAAGATTCAACATGATAAAAAGTTCAAGATAATAAAATTAACATTTACAAAATAAAACTATCTAACATAAGACTATTAACTGTTGCAGATAATCAACTTGAATCTATTCCATAACTTGGCTCTTCACATTCGCTCACATAAGTTATCAAACAATTGAAAGAAGATAAAAAATATAATTAACATAATTTTTTTTTAACAACAAAGTAAGAGAAAATTAAAAATAAAAAATATATTAAAAATAGTAAATTTTAACATTTACTTTGATTGAAGTGTGAAGAACACATTTCTAATCTCTTCACTCATCAATTGAAGTGCCACTAATGGAAACGGAATCCACAATTCCAATCTTTGATATTTCTAAAATAAATAAATTAAAAAATTAAAAAATTAAAAATATTAAATATTTATTATATTTTATATAAATTTAAAAATAATATATAATAATATATATATTAATATATATAATTAATTTGATTTTTTGGTTGACTTAATTTAAAATTTTTGGAATAAAAAATCATTAAAAAAATCAATTGAACTAAAGACTTTTTTAGATAAAATGATTCAATAAATTAATTAAATCCAATTATTTTACACAAATTATATTTAATTTGGATAAATAATAGATGTGGTCTGAATTTCCTCCCTCTAGTTAATTGTGGAGAAAAAAGGGATCATCTCATACGATCACGCTAGCAATCCCTACCAAATACCACGTTGAGACTTAAGAAGAAAAGGCGCGAGAGAGAAGTTGTGTATTTTATCGTGATGAAAATATCGTTTAGACCCCACCAACAATAAAGCAGAAAAAAGCAGCAAAAAACCACTCTTTCACAAAAACAGCCTTCCGGTTTCGTAATACTACTCTTCCTCTACTCCTCTATAAATAGAGCCCCACTCTTTCTACCTGCTCCCTACTCTTTATTTTAAAGAAGCTCATACTTAAATCCAAGGACCGAAGCGGAAGAGTCGAGAGAATGAGTTACCTGAACAGAGTGTGGATGGCGACGAGCATGGCAGTGGTGCAAGGCCACGGCGAAAACCAAGGTCAAAAATGGAAATCAGGCGTCAAGTTTCTCCAACGGGGCCAGGGGAGGCTCTTCGGTGGGGACTCATCTGACCTACGGCCTGTTTCCGGGATGATCGGCTCCGATATCTCCGGGATGGTGGGGAACCTTGATGCTCAAGCCGATGAGTCGATCCGGCGAGTCATGTATCTTAATTGCTGGGGCCAAGGATAAGACTAGAGTAGACTTCTCTATCTTTTGTTTTGGTTTTTCCCCTCTTCACGTCCTACCCCTCCAACAACGAAAAGAGGGAAAATTACTGTAGAGGAAAGGGTGTGGAAGCTGTAAATGCGGAAGTTGTACAGAGGACAAAAGGGTATTGTTGGGGATGTAAATTTCGATGCTCAGCTTTTGGGGATGAATGGATTTTAGGGTATCAAATGAAACAAACACTTGTAAATTTTTTTTGCTATCAATTATCTACTCTTTTGATTGTAAGGTCTAATCAGTTTTTGAGTAGGTTTTCAATTTGGGCAGGCACCTCAAATCTGCTGCAATAACACCCAATACTTGAATTAACCGAAGATACCAAGGAATTAAACTAGCATAAATTCGAAGTAGGAATTGAATAACTATACTGTTTCATTTCTTACTAGGCATTATCTCATGCCTTCTTTCCCCCCTTATTCCCTAAGAGAATCTGTTCCATACCAAACCTTCTCTTCCAACGAAAGACTCAACGTTTGCAGAGATCCATTACAAAGAGAAGTCGACGCTTTCAGTCAAGCACGCGGCTATTTCATTTTCCCCTTTGTTTTAGAGAACAGGAAAAAGAATAAAAGAAAGGAACAGACAAATTTACCTGATAAGTTTGAGAAAATTTATTTATAAGAGAAAATATCAAGTAGACATGATTGTTCAATGTGACCAAATCTTAGGCTTACCGTGGGTAAACATGCACATCAAATAAGCCATCAGCTGCGCAAGAAAACTTGAACTGATTGGTAAGGCAAGTTTTGCAAAGTATGTCTTCACTCCAAGTCATATGGCTCACGGACATCATTCCTTCAGTCATGCATAAAATCATTCGTTGGCTGCCATGCGTGAAGCTGGGATATATTTTGGATACTTACAATCCACTCACTCTACTGACCAAGGATGGCTGGTTTTAAGATAAAAGGAGTTCAACAAGGATGCCCAAACCTAACACATGGAAATTATTGGAACATTGTCTTTGATGATAAATTACAAACATTGTAATCATTGCCTGATTACATTGCTACAGAGAAAGCCAATTCCCCGATCAAATAGAGGGAAAAGTACTTGTAGCCCAAAAGAAGAAGAATGCAGGGGCAAAAATTACAAAAAAAATAAAAACACACAAATTACACAATTACATTCATGAATAGGCACCATTCTTCGAGACTCAACTGACGCAAGAAGGCATTGAAAATAAGAGAGACGACAAAACTATATAATTGGCCCTACAACGGCTCCTTGCAGATACACAGGCACACATCCAAGAACACCCATAATCTAATTATATAGGCAAAGAAATGCTTCTTTGGTTTCCAAGGTTTTGTTGCTTTATCTCCCACGAAGTAACCTGCTGGGCTTCCTCCGCCAAAATAAAAGGCAAAGAGATTTCACGGATTATTAACTCACCGCAAAATGGGCATTCACTGGCCACTGCATCATCTAGCTGTGATCGGAGCTGCCCACCAATCAAACGAGAAATGTCAATTAAACTAGTGAGTTTTTGTCGTCTACTAAGGCAACCTAGTGGATGAATTTCCAGCAAACACCAAAGCCATAGATTCAAGTGAAGTTAAATGGAAGTGACACCAAAGATGAACAATAGGAAGGGAAATGATACCTTGTCTGCAGGGTTCATGCTGGTTATGGATTCATCTGTGATACCACCATTAGATTCCCTCCTGGCTTCGCTACCAAGTAAAGTTAGTTGCTTCTGCAAATCCAGTATATATTCTGCCTGCCACACATATTTAAGTTTTAAGATTGATTGCTACCCCAAATCTCATCAAAACGTTTACCAAGGCCAACAAGAAATATAATAACCAGAAATACTGATCTTTCAGCCAACGCATAAACATGTGCAACATAAACATATGAGAACTGAAAGAATGATATGCAAACAACTCACTTGAGATTCATTGGTGCAACGTGTCACATGAGCAATCAGGCAGTGGGCATGAAAGGCATGTCCACATGGAAAGACATAGAAAGGAGCCATTGGTCCTACAGCTGTATAACCACGAGTCATTCTATAATCCCCACCAACAGCCAAGATTTTACGTCTACAGATCTGACAATTCAGAGAGAAGTTGCCTAATCAAAAGCTATAAATTCATAGGTTGAGGAAAGTAACATAGAAGAAAGCAATGGGAGTTTTTCTATAATATGGCCAACACCAAAATAAATTAAAATATCAGCCAGAGCCAAGCAATTTTCAATAAAATTAATTTTCACTGGTTCTCAAAGTCTGTGCTGGAGCCAGATATAATGGTTAAAGCAAGGCAAGTTGTCTCCATGGAGTGGGTAAAACTCTGTGAGTTCTTGCAGAACTACACAGAGAATCCCACAGCAAACTAAATCAAGTATGAATGGTTTAGCTCCATAATCCATTAAAAATAAACCCAAGAAATAAACTTGTCAATGGTACCGAACATCAGAATTCAGGATGAATAGTACCCCACATTCCTCATCACGATCAATCAAAGCATATCTTTGAGCTAGTGCACTAATATCATTTCTAATGTTGTCAGCACCATGTGTAGCATCATTCATCTCCTCCTTAAGTTGCTCAATTTGCTTGTTGTAATCCTCCAGTGAGGAGCAAATTGCCTCCTACATACATACAATAGAAGAGCAAAATTTAATGGAAGGTATAGATGCAGAATAAATACTTGGACTTGGAGGAATTGACTAACATCCTTACAGAATTTCTCATATCAAAATAATAATAACAGTATTCCATAAAGACCCTCAGGTTCAAATTTTAAAATTTATATATGAGTAGCCAAAAGCGGGTGCTTGCGTGTGTGCAAAGAGAGAGAGAGAGAGAGAGAGAGAGGTATTTCAGAATAATATCATCTCTTGAAGGATATAAGCATGGGCAACTCAACATGCTAAAATCCTACCTTGAAGTCATCAATAAGGGCAAAGTCAGGAAAGAATGGCAATATGTCCTCGATCTTTAATAGGCCATCTGTTTCCTTGAGAAATGCTATTGCCTTTCTTATATTCTCCCTTTTAGTACCCTTTTCCTGCTCAATAACATGCTTAGCAACCATTAGCCAAAGCTTCTTTCTCAAGTCTTCATCATCTTCAACCTTGTCGGCTTCAGCCATTGCAAGCTCTGGATCAACCTAGAGCAACCAAAAATAGCATACACATTAATTTAATGCAAAATCCTGAAAAATTATATTTGAGAAAAGATACCACTATCATACATCATACAGACAGATGACAGATCTAACTAGCTGCCAACATCTATTTTAAAAAGCACAATTCAATGATAGTTGAACAGGACTATCTCATCTAGTCATACAGGTCTGAGTGAATCTCACAAAGGCATGCAAAGATGGCCCTAACTGAACAGTCCACACGTTGTCCTTTATAGTCCACACCTTCAAAATTGACAGCAAGCTGTACTTAACAAAGGGATTTATTGGAAGCCCGCATTAGAGGAATTTAAACTAAGGATTTGCACATGAAAAACCATTGCTAACAGGATGAGCCAACTTCTAATCATCATGAATTTAAAGAATTTTTTTTTTTTTTTGAAAATAAAACACAGGTAGATAATGATAACAATAATAATCCATACCCAAAAAGTCCAAAGAAATGTGAGAGAGAGAGAGAGAGAGAGATGCTTTACATATATGAGTATTAATGTAAGCCAATGTGCCTAATTCCAGAATTAATTTCATCAGTGTACCATATTGCTCTAAATCCAAATCCGCACAACAATTACACAAGTTCCAATAGAAATGGCATGAAAGAATTGTTATAAAGCAAGGCATTGTTAGAGGCATTTGCAAAGACATTACCTGGAGAGCAAGAGCAACAGCCTCCTCATGCATTGACATCATACTGTATATATGAACACAGGCACGCATTCGTTTTTCCTTGAGGCAGAGGCGCAGAGCATACTTGGGATCATAGAAGAAATCAGGCCCATTCTCTTGTCCTTTTCCAAATTTGCATTGTAGGAAATGCAAAAGGGCGCTATCATCTTCCTAGATATAATATAAAAGGAAAATCAGGAAATAAAGAAGAAGACAAGGCAAACAATATCCTCAACCTTACAGTAAATGTATGTACTAAATGAAACAAATAAGACATAGTTTGAAATCATTGCTGGTTTTAAGCTTTCAAGACCAGTCAATTGCTCAAGTTCTTAGATAAGGGTCAAAAAAGATTTTTGGTCTACAAACACACCCCCTCATGTGCAAACAACTATACACTTTAAGGATTAAAGCTTCTAAATATTAAAGTAAACAACTCAACCTGTTTAGCATACAAAGAGAGCAATAAGTTGTGGATTCCTGGATCCTCATTATGCAAACGGTGAACACAGAATTCCAAGTATTTGATTACTTCATGGGTTTCATTCCTGCATGTTGCACAAAGTTGTGGTAGGAAGTCATTCAGAATCCATAGAAGAAACAAATGATTGAAAAAGCAAATATGGGAAGACCAGTACTTCGCATGAGGTTCACTTGAATAACGCATCATTGCAGGAATAAGTTTCCTTGGGTTCAGGCTGTTTGAGGCCATCCATGACTCCACAGTCTCATACGCGTCAAGAGTAATAAGATCGGGGGCAAATTTGTACTGCAAATTAAGAGCAATAACGTTTTTTGCATTGAGTAAGTATGAACTAGAAATGATAGGCTGTATTCTATTACAAAGATAAAAGATCAACTAGCTTATAGACAAAACCAAAAGAGGAATTCACTGATATGAAAAATGAAGAAAATATTACAAGGACCTGCTAAGCAACAAACAGCATGTGATGGCAAGAATATTTGGGAACCTGATGTGTACCTGAAGATCTATTGGAACAACAGGTTTCCGAAGCACTTCCAATGCCTTCTTTGCTTCTCCTTGCTAAAGGAAAAGGTAGAACAGCTGTAAGTGTCAAACAAAAAATGGAATAACAAAGTAAAAAAAATCTAACGCGTATCTTGTTTATAAAAGTACACAAAGCCTCTCTTTTTAATCTTAACCATAAATGACTAATATGTATACCATGTTAGCTCCTTTTTTCTGTTACTTATTAAGCCACCGGTAGAAAAAAAAAATGAAGGACAATAAGTCTATTATCCATTGGAATTAAGAAGAGCAAATGAAAGGTTTCCATAGCAAAAGCAAACTACCAATCATAAACTTAAGACTTTGCACAAACAAAACCACAAAAAGCTTTATGAGCAGAATGTCCGGAAATTTAAAGCATTAAGAGTCCCCGAAAAATAACAAAATAAACAAATAAATAAAAACAAAAACATGGCAGCATCAGGAAAGATGAATTCTAGATCAAGTGGCATGAGGAAAAGAAGCAATAGGTGCCAATGACAATAATAGAAAATATGATAGTACCTGAATATAGTGGTGAACAACAATTTCATATTGTTGCTTCAGACTGGCAAAATATACTAATTCTTCAACCCTCCCGTAGCTGCAGAAATTTGCAAAAGAACATATTATTGTTGTTAATGCTTCAATTCTAAAGGGTTAACTGACTAAAGAACCCAATAAAGAGTCAACATAAGCATGGTAATGTTTCAAAACTAATATGTCAACTTGAGACTGCAGCAAGTAAAGCAGACATGTATTCTGATTATTTAAGCAAAAGACAAGGCCTCTTCTCCAGAGTCCAGACACAATCATCTCATTATGGGTCTAACCATCAGCAACGCAAGAATAGCTGTCAACTCCTGAGAATTGGTATATTTTCTGTTGCTCATCTGTCACAATGCACTAGAATTAAATTCCTTGCAAATCCCACGATTCTCATGAAATGCAGGGGTTGCAATTCCACTTCATAAAAGAAACAAATAAATTTTTCACTTCTCTTGACTTATGGAGTTTATGATACCAAGAATCCATCCTTACGCAAGAAAGCCTTTTATGTGATAGTACCCAAGAAGTAACCCAAAGTTATTATTGACCAAATAGGGAGATTAACCTTCAGGTATATTGTGCTTTACAAGAGTCAATGCTGTTAAATATTCATGCTACCACCAGTCCTATATTTTGACACAAGATAAACATCAACTGATGAATGGAAGTCCAGAGGTGAAGAACTCCTTCCAAAGTATTGAGTGGAAGGACCGGTATCTTCCTATGATAACAATCTTTTAGAATTATATCTATAACCAATAAGACAGAACAAATGTGAGACATAACGTTATAAAACCATGAAAGATTACTTACAACAATAATGTTGACAATTAGAAGAGAATAACAAATAATTTACAAATCACAAGATTATTACCTCTCTAGAAGTCTCATTGTAGTCACCTCATCCAATACATCTTTGCAGTCACTAAGGAAAGCACGAAACTCTCTAATGATTGACTGATATTCTGAATTGCGATTCTCCAAAGCTGTGTCATCTTCTAAAAGAAGCCGATTTATCTAAAATGTTGGAATACAAAATTTGGCATTATAGATTCCAAATGGTAAGTTATCAACTACCACTACATGACTTTCTTGCATGAAGAGAGAAATTAATCCTCTTAAAACAGTGCAATCCAAATGGCAAATAATGTACAGTGTCGATTTCCCAAAAAACAGATGCATTCGAAAGTTGCGTCCAACTTTTTATGCCTACTACTCATCAGGTTCAGAACAAAATAACAATGGCAAACATTTACTTTTTATTTGCCTTGCATATAGCTGGAAGAGCATGAAGATGGTAAACGACCTAAAGGTGGAACAAAAAAAGGGGGCAAAAGCAGACAAAGAAACAATATTTATATTGGGCACTTATCTCATGTATGTGTAGGAAGCAACAAAGAAAAAACATTTATATTGCACACTTATCTCATGTAGCTATTATCTATTAACATATAGGAATGGGCAAGAAAAGCACTCAAAAACAAGTCTGATGATGTAAGAAGCATCATGTTACAACCTTAGTATCATGCCATTCTAACCTGTTGCTAATCACATGTTTCAGTTTTGTAAAGCAACTAGCATGTCATAGAAGGAAAAGAAAGAAAAAATGAAGATAGCTAGATGATATATCTATTAGTCATGCATGGAAAACATTAAAACCTTGTCCAAGTACAGTTCCGTTGCCCATGTGGAGATCATCGTTATTTGGCATTTGTCATCCTTTGCCAGATTGTCAAGCTTCCGCAATAAGAAGGTTCTCAAAGCATCCTGTAGCCAAAGCACATATTAAATTTGTTGTTGAAGTCTAAGATTGGTCCCTGCTCTTATCAATATTAACAATTTAGTCCCTGTACCATAGTTTAAGCAAATTAAATCCCTATACTTTTGTTAAATGTTGTACAGAGGACAACTGTTAATGGTGTGAATATTCAACCGTTAAATTTGTTAATGTGGCATTACTTTAGCCACGTGGACTTTTTTCGCCATTTGAACACTCTGTTCCAGTTGATTATTTTGACTTTTTCTTTACTGATTACATATTAAATAATTTATAAATAAAATAGAAAACCTGATAAAAGAAAGTATGTAGCCAGCTGGAAAATTAAAAAAAGAGAGATTTTTAGGCGGCCCAGAATATGTAGCCAGTTGGCAAAAAAGTCCACGTGTCATAACACAAGACCAAGATTATACCATATCACCTAATTTAATGATTGAAAAGTCACATATTAACAATTGCCTTCAATCTGACATTTGATTAAATTATAAAGATTTAATTCCCTGAAATTGTGGTAGAGGAACTAAATCCTTAAAATAGATATACGACAGGGACCAATCTTCAACTTTGACCTTAATTTGTCAATGTATGTCTAATAAGCCAAATGCTGAGTGTTGGTCAAAACAATAAACTCAAGCATGTTTGAGTGTATGTGTGTATGATGACGTAATGTCACCCTGCATAACACACTGAAAAACTTGAATCTAGAGATGCTATGTTTTTAGTTTTGTTTTAGGCACAGGCATATAGATTAACGATAATTGTTAAGTCAGCAGACAAAACATAAACAGTTGTCATATAAAAGAATAAAGATCCTCAGTTCAGCATATTTATACTTCTACCATTAACCCCAAAGGAAATTCCTGCCTCTGGCAGCAGCAAACATGATATGGTAAAAATAAAAGTGAAAACCAACTAGATTAAGTTTGTACATCTTCACAAATATAAAAGACATGTAAAGTTATCAATTCAAAACTAAAAAGAAGAGGTAAGATACAGCACTTACCTGTTCGCTGACACTAATAAACTTCAAAGTGATCTCCTCAAATGATAGTATATAGTTAATCTGCAAACCACCCACATCAGTTATAATTTTTTCCTTTACATGGAAAACACACACACACACTCCACCCTATGTGGGTCTACAACATTAACAGAGAATGGATGATTTCAGATAATAAATTAAATACATAATAAAACAAAGTCAAGAAACAGGAAATTCACTTTTGCATAAAAAGATGCTGCCCTGAGGAAGTCCCTGGAGGTGAATGCAGCTTCAGCCTGCATAAACAAAGTTCCAGACATATAAAATTAAGATGAGCTCATGTAAGTTTTGTGTTATGAAACTACACTATAACCAAAACACCTATTACTTGAAAGACAAGAAGTCAGCCAGACAGGACCTGAACTAAATATACGTGGTCTCTCTGGAGCGGGTCACGAGAATTTGCTAATGCTGCAGCATACTCCTTCATATCTAGATAGACCTTCCACATATCTCGTCCTTCATCATTCACAGAAACCTAAAAAATGTTTTCAATCCAGAAGCCAGAGAAAATTAGTCTTGTACAGTCTGGACCAAAACAGTAGATAAAATCAATTGTAAGATACAAACCTGAAAAATAGAGTTTTGGTCAAATGCATAGAACAACCCTGCAGTTGCATCACTAGACAGTCCAATAATCCCTCTTGAATTAGAGTCTGATGCCTGATCAAACTGAAGTTCCTCTATGATTTGCTCACTGATTCTGTTTACAACCTATGTAGCATTTAAAGAACATAGCACATGACTGTAAAAGCTAAAAGAACAGGAAAAGGGCAAATCTAAACAATCCTGCATAAACACCAACAAAACTAATCCCAAGATCCTCCAAAAATAAAATAAAAGGGGGCTCTTAGAAATAAGTCTCTCATACTCATAAGAAAACCCATTTCCAAGGTAGATGTAACTGAATTCAGAACCTTTCCAATGGACAACTTCAGAAGTTAAATAAAACACAAGTGTTTATCACAACACACCTTAACCTTATTTCCAATAAGAAGCAAGAAATGAAATTCAGACACTGCCATGGAACTGGGTTTGACTACATCCGCACCATTAGACAACTTTGTGTAGTCCAGGAGAGCCTTGTTCTCCACAAAGTTCTCATCACCATCTGGAGAGCTAGATCAAAATATCCATAACAACCGATGGTGAGTGAACACTCGTATGGAATTTCATCAGATATAACAACTAGTTCCAATGCATTATAAATGTAAGTGAAATACAACCTAAAACAAAATCAAAAGCAAAGCAGCAATTTAAGTATAAATATGAATTTAATTTTTGAAAAGGCAAGAAAATAAAGTAACAAAAGAAAGAACGTAAACAGATGGTTAACAAAAGAAGAAAAAGTTAAGGATTTAATTCTTTACCTATGCTGTGCTCCAAAATTCAGGCCACCATGGTATATACCAGCTCCAGAAAGCCATGCAAAATGAACAGCTCTCCTTTGCTTGATAAAGAAATGCAGTTCACTGAGAGGATACAATAGCAGCAGCAAATTCTCACTCAGAAAGCACCATAATTTTATATTTATTTACTAGAAGAGGGAGATAGTAATTCTCAACCAATAAGCAACAATGATTATGTTACCCAAAAAGAATAAGCACAACAAGTCATTACATAAGTTCTGCTAACACAAGGCTCTGTTCTCTCTTATGAGTAGTTCAAATTACAAAATATAATCATGAAAAAGAACACTTGCCTGTTTGGTATTTCACCAGGAAGTTCCATGAAACGCACAGCACGATCTAAGTAGCTGGCAAAAACAGTCTAGCATGCAAAAAACTTTAAATTAGAAAAAAAAAAAGGTACCTTTCCACAATGTAATGCACCAATCTAGACAGATGGCTATGCAAATCATGAGAAGAGAACTTCAGAGTGAGAAAAAATCAGGAAAATAATAAAATTTATGCACACAGTTGCATGTTTGGTATTTCACCAGGAAAGTTCCATGAAATGCACAGCATGATCGAAGTAGCCAGTAAAAACAGTCTAGCATGCAAAAAATATTAAATTAAAAAAAAAGGTACGTTTCCACAATATAATGCACCAAGCTAGACAGAAGGCTATGCAAATCGTGGGAAGAGAACTTCAAAGTGAGAACAAATTTAGGAAAACAATAAAATTTATGCACACAGTTGGCACTTAGATGAGAAGTTTTGTTATACCTAGATTGCAAAAAAAGAAAAATGAAAAAAAAAAGGCACATCTAAGTGACTGTATAGACATTCCAGAGATGAAGAGAATCTGGCTCAACCGATTAATAAATAAACAAAAAGGACAAAAGGGACCTCAATCTATAAATCCTCAAGAACCATCAATATTAGGATATGACCTTAAAGACAAGTAACTTAAGCACCACAATGGAAAAGAAGGATTCATGGGAAAAAACTAACAGAACACATCCCCTCCCCTCTCCTCCCTTCAACCACCTTCGCCACCACCCACCAAAAAACAAAGGCATACTGTCTTTCAGTCCCCAGGAGAGGGGTCTAATTTAAATGCATAAGCACTAGCTGGGAAAAAAGGAAGCTGGCATTTTAATGTGCCAATTAAGTTATGGCTTAAGGGCACTGGATCATACATTTACGTGGATGTGTGTGTAAAGAAAGAAAGAAGCAGTTGCACAACAGCCAAATAGCGCAGCACACATATTAACATGTTCCTTTATAGCCAATCACTTTAAAACTCCCAAAACAGGGGGAAAAGGCATTGGAGCTTATCTTACCTCTAGTGATCCAATTCCAGTGAAAGAATAAAGTCTTGTGGGAGTAACAGCCATCACATAATATCTAGTTCCATTGCTTAAGATAGCTGTTTCCATCTGTACAAAGCCACAATGCCAATTATTACGAAGAAAGAAGCTTAAGATAGCTATTCCCATCTGTACAAAGCCACACTGTCATTAATTAAGAAGAAAGAACAGGTTAATGTGAATGCTGTTTCCAGGCCAGTTTCATGAACCAATGATTCCTCTGATATTATCAACATAGGAGATAAGAATCTACATACATAGCAACATGTTCCAACTAGTTTATTATCAAACATAAATTGTGTAGCGTAAAACAATACTGGCAACAGAAGACATATCATGCACAGTTGTACAGACAAATAAGCACAGGCAAATTACAACTGTATCCATCCAAACAAGGCTTTCTTCTTCATTGTTTTTTTATTCTTTTTACTTTTGGCTAAAGAAAGAGGATGGTCTAGTTGCTTTCCCAAAAGAACATCTACATCAGTACAAAGGGTTCTCAAAAAGACGAAACAACAGAAAATTTAAAGCTCATTCCCAAAAGAAAGGCACAAAAAGGAATACCTGCAAACCCATGATAGCTTCTGGAAGTTCTGCTAATTCAAATAAAGGCTTCATATACTTCTCCCTCTTGTCCTTCTCATCTACTGCAATTTCATAGAGTTGGCCATTGTCTGTACCAAGAATGACTTCCCTTGTAGAAGCTGCATTAGAAAAAAAATTTACATAAAAGTACACAACAACATAACTAAATCAATACACACAAAGCTTGGTATTATCAAATAAGCAACGGCCAAAAGTTAAATTACCTTCAGTTATCTGTTGCCTATTCCAGGCAACAGCATTGACAACTACCCCTTTCAATCTGCTTAATACGCGTGGCTTGTTCCACTTTGCATGAGTGTAGACTGTATCAGCACCTCCACTGCCAACAACAGTAGCAATACAATGGCTGCCCCCAGGATCAACAAAAACTCTATGGATGGATTGCTCCCCAGTTCGGCCCGCAGAGAGATCAAAATCTAAGATTCCAAATAGACAAGCAAAATTACAAAAATGCTTCCATAATATCATAAAGAAACAATAACTCGGCTGTTAACCTCTCAACTGCCATAACTCAACTTGATGCCTTAAGTAAGAAGCTCAATCAAACACCTTATATCAATGAGTTCAAGTTCAATTCAACTTTAAGGTAATTACTTAACCAACAAGGATTGAAAATCAGATTTAAAACTAGCCAGGCATTTCGAAAATTAGCACTCTATTTAGCTGAGAACTAAAAATTGACATGATTAATTTTACAGAAAGTGAATTAACCTATACAAGAGAAATCAAGTAAAGCAAAAAAGGTAAGGCTACAAGAAGATACCATACGAATCTCCCACCCCAAAATCGTGTCTGATAACCCAACCTTTACTTGTTCCCAACACAATCACATCATTTCCAGCCGCCATACACGTAATCACACCGCGGCCTTTCGCCGCATATCTCTCTAGAAGATCTACTGCAAACACTTGTCTCCCTTGATCCATCCTTCACCGTCACCCACCCTGCCCCGCCGTTGATTTCCTCGCGAGCCGTCCCTCGACGGACTGCCATGATGATTCCAAAATTAAGAGGAAGTATGATTAGAAACAATTAGGTTTCGCGATTGCAGAAAAACGGAACATGAAATCTTTACTTTCATAGAGATGAAATTCTCAAGTAAACTGCAAATAAATCAAAGTAATGCTAATACTAATTGAAAGCTTTTTTATTTTTGCCAAAGAATGCTAATTGAAATTTAGTTGCGCATTTTCCATTTAGAAGAAAAGAGCACCTGATTGCATAGGAGAGGCAATCAACCGGTAAAGTTGCCGGATATTTTAACAGCTTTGTTTCAGTGAAACTCCATTTTGATAATTGGCTTGCTAAGGTCAAACGATGTCGTATGACTCATCTAGCCGGTTCTGAACCATCATGGGCCATGGAGCGGCCCAGGGAGGAGAAGAAGCGCGCCCTGTGGACCCAAAAAAGTGGTGATCATTAAGGATAAGGTCGTACTGAGACCCTCGTAACAATTTGTCAAATGCCAATACACTCAATTTCCTTTCTTTTTACCACTAACCTTTAAATCAAATCGAAGCGTCTGCAGGAGCAGTTTAGGATCTAACGGCTCAGATTTCACCAACAATCCCCCTCTAACGTCTACTTTTGCCCAACGGTCATATAGCTCTCCCAAGAAAACGAAATTCCCTCAATGCATTTATCTCTCTTTTTCTCTCTTACCAATATCCTCCAGAGATTAGCAAAAAAATACATACATTTCTGCGTAATTCTTTTAACACTCAAATTTGTTGTTGTTTATTCCTTTTTTCAGGAATTCTTGATTCAAAGTGTACAAAGATGAGTATTCTTCAATACCCAGATCCGTTTAATGTGCAGGAGCTCCAGGTTTGGAACAATGCGGCTTTTGACAATGGAGAGTCTGAAGATACCAGCGCCATCAAGGCTTCTTGGGGCAATCTTGAATCTGGGTCGGTGAATCAGTCACTAGAATCTGATGGCAGCAAAGAAAATCAGAGCCCCCTTTGGCTAAAGTCCCCTGTTTCTTTTAAATCTTCCGCTTCCCTTGTTAAGCCTCTTTGTTCCAAGAATGTTATTGGTAACTCCAAAGAGCAGGCGCTGAAGGGTATTTTTGTCGAGCCTTTGTCATCGAAACTGAAGAGTGGAGTCAGGAAAGAAGAAGAGAAAAAGCACGATGAGAAAAAGATTGATATGGAGATTGAAGAGATTGAGAAGGAGATCTCTCGTTTGTCATCGAAACTTGAATCTCTTCGTCTCGAAAAAGCTGAGTACAATGCGAGAAGTATTGCGATGAGAGGAAGAATAGTGCCTGCTAAATTCATGGAGCAAAAACAGCGCATCGGGAATTTGGAGATGGGAAAAAAGATTGAAGATCCATTGTTGTCAAGTGCTAAAACAAAAATGAGTCGAAGAGGGGTTAGTTTAGGTCCAACGGAGATTTTCTCTGCTATGAAATCGAGGCAATTGACGAAGCAGGAAATCACCACCCCTATTCAGTCAATACAGAGTCGCCGGAAATCCTGTTTCTTTAAGCTTCAAGGTATTGATGAAGGGAAGGTTACAAGAGAGAGAGGGAAGAGCTTGAGCGTTAGCCCTAGATCACGTAAAACTTCTAAGGTTGAAGCTCCTAAGCCAGCTGCAACCACGGCAGGGTGTACAAGGGCTGTTAAGAAAGAGGATGGGGTTCTCGCTACAATTCAGCCAAAAAGACTGTTCAAAGATGGAGAAAAATCGGTAACAGCAAAGAAACCAGTGAAACCTGGAAGGGTAGTAGCGAGCCGCTACAATCAGATTGCCAATCAAAGCAATGGGAATTTCAGCGTGAACGATGCTCGAAAGCGGTCTTTACCAGAAAATGGTAAGGAGGAAAGCAACAGGCATGAGAAGAAGCGTGTTTCGCAGGAACGGCTAGTGGATTCCTGCAAGAATCAGAAGAGTGAGAGCAGAGTGAAGAAGAAGTGGGAAATTCCCAGTGAAGTGGTAGTTTTCAAGTGTGAAACGGAGGAGGTATCTCCGGAGCCAGATAATAAGATGAACAATGTGCTACCGAAGATTAGGACTGTCAGATTTTTGGGTAAAAGTCCTCGTGATTCAGGTCCAGCAAAAAGAGTGGCTGAATTGATGGGAAGGAAATCGTACTTCTGTATGGAGGAAGAAGCAGAGGACTCTGTTTGTCAGGCTCTGAGTTTTGCAGAAGGGGATGGAGAGGAAGATTGATTCATTTGTTAATTTTCTTCTTGACTTTTTCAAGCTACAGAGTCCGGGGGTTTTGGGGTTGTGAATCATACCATAACTCTTGTTATGGGTTAAGAATGGTTTTATGTTCGCTTAATTCACATATGTAAGCGCTTGATTAAGCTTTTACGCTCTCTAGTATGGAATAATAAGATAAGCTTTTCTCTTGCTTTCGGGTGAAGATAATTTTTTTTTCTTTCTTTGTAACAACAGTTGATAGGTGAAAGTAAATATAATAATTCCTTTTCATATTGACAACTATCCTACCAGTTGGCTATTCTTCTGCACGTATTTTTCAGGATTCCTTACCAAATTCAGGAATATCTTTCTTTCTTGCATAAATAAACGGCTTTGGTGTTATAAGCCAGATATTCACCTTAGATAGATAAAGCATGATTTATGTTTTCCCTGAAGGAGTTGGAGATTTTACTTTTGCCTTGCCTTTTTTCTATCCAAGCAGATGAGTAGCATTTTTATCTTCCTCTCTAATTATGATCTATTTTTCTATTCCCATTAACTGTTGAGTAAGTGAATCAAGACTAGTTAGTACTTCTTCTAAAATGAAAAAAGATTCTCTGATGCTAATTGTTAATCATCAACATAATTTCTTTCTGTCTCTTTTACCTTGATAAATAAACTGATTCATACCCACTTTCCTCTTTATAATCTTCTACTACTATTTTTTCAAGAAAAAATTTCGAGATTTTTTCTGTTAAGTAATCTTGAGGTTGATAAGTGAGAAAAAAACATGAAGAAATTAAAAGGGGAAACTACAAACAACTCGATGTTTGAATATCAAAGGACTCATCCCTTCCAGGGTGAAAAGGATCCCTTTCCAATGTTTGGAAACGGGACAGAAAAGTTGATGTAAAGAAACTGGGATGGAGAGGAAGGAAAAATGATGTTGTTTGCAGTTTGCGCCTGTGCTCTGCTTTGTTATGGAATTAAGGAACATGCATGTCCTTGAATTCTGACACTGATGATTATGTTCTGTTCTGGAGCCATTGCCACCATGAAATGACATTGCTACTAGTGTGGAGATTAAGAAGTAAATATCTCAACTTCACTTGTAATTCCATCACTCTGTCAGGCCACTTATTTCGTCCCCACTTGAATTTGTCTGAACCTGCCATGATTGTCTGCAAATTTTACGAACCATTTGTTTCAGATTTTACCACCCAAGATTAATCATCAATTAGTTATATTCTTAACCAAGAAAGTTAAAAGAATGAAATAGCAAGAGACTAAAAGATCATTGCCATTAGCTTGTGCAAGCTAAAGGTGTAAGATATATTTCTTCTCTAGACATTTGCCTGAGGTTAACCACGTCTAACAATATCACAACATAAGGAGATGTTTCTTTATTATCTTTTTAGTTATAAAGTTTTTTTTTTTGAATAATTTTTCCAACTGGAAAGGTTTTAATAGAATAAGTTAAGAATTCAATGCATATTCTTTTTAGAAAAATTTAAGAAAAAAAGTTAGGATACGTTTAGTATTTTTTAAGTTAAATTATACAATACTTTACAAAAAAAATATATGGATTTATTTCATGTATAATAATTTATGTAAATTGAATTTTTATATTTTTTCATTTTGTTAATTTTAATCTCTAGTTCTAATAATATTAAATTTTATAGTTAAGTTTGTTAACATAGTATTTTAACCAAATTGATGTGACACTTTTTGTTAATGTAACGTTAATTATGTGCTGATGTAACATGATCATGTTAATGTAACCAAAAAATGTTGATATGACAAATGTTAGTGTGACAATTGCTAATGTGGTAATTACTAAATTAACAAAATTAATAGAAACCTTACAACCATTATTTTATGTTGAAACATCATTTTTTTTTTCTTTCAAAACTTCTATTTTATTTCCAATTGAACTAAACACATAGTAATGAAAGCCTATAAATGATCAACGTCAAAGTAAAATTGTTTCTCGCAGCCTAATTCATAATCAGAGTCACAATTCTATTCAAAGTTTTAGTCATAAGTGAGGTCGTCTTGATTCTCGAATAGATGATCAAGGCCCTCCATATAAAGGCAAATCAAGGTTTTCGTCCTCTAGATCAAGGAGTTATGGTTCCTCTCCTTCTATATCTCCTAATATCTCACCACTAAGACATCGTAATAGAAAATCATCTTTTATCTCCTAACCATGTTAAAATCAAGCTCACTTTCTGGCACAAAGAGACTCATTTAGATTTAATTGATCAAGCTAAGAAGCTTACCTAGTTGTCTTGATTGCGTTTGGTTTGCAACACCAGTTAAAATCTTCAAAGGAAAAATGCAGATCCAAAAATTGAATCTTATAAAAGAAAGCCCATTAACCTTTAAAGCACATTATTTTTCATGTTTTTCAATTCCATATTCAAAACCAAACAAGCTCTCCTTATTTTGATTCTATTTCTTCAATTGGTAACTTTTCTTGTTCTTTTTTCTTAATTTTTATGTTAATCTCATTCCATTTATGGTTAAGGTGTTTTTATTTTTTTTAAACTCAATATTTTTCCATGTCAGTAAATGCCACATCAGCATAAATCCAGCAACTGTCATATTAGCACATAATCAATGCCACATCACCTCAAATAATGTTATGTTAACTTGGTCAAAATGTTACATCAACATATGTAATGGTAAAATTTAACGATATTAAAATTAAGGATTGAAATTAGTAAAATGATCAAGTACAAAAACTCAATTTATACAAATTATTGTATAAAAACTAAATCTATATTTTTTTTGTAGAATATAGAGACTAATTACATAATTTAACTTTTTTTTATAATTAAATATTATAATCTAATGATATAATATCTAAAAAAGTTCATAAACTATTTAAAAAAAGTCAAAGAAACTTTTACATTTTTATTATATTCAATCAAACCTTTCTAAGTTAAATAAGTTATATATTTTTATTTTAAATTAAATAAATTTTTATAATTAATTATTAACTTAGTTAAAATATAATTTATTATTTTATAGTATATGACGTTGAAATGATAAGTTAATATATTATAATTGATGATGATGTGATATATTTACAGATTATATTAAAATTAATATAATATATTAATTTAATATGATAATATAATATTTTTTATTTTCAACATCAATACTAGATCAAAACATAAAATGATAAGTGATATTTTAATTAATAATAATTAATTAATTATTAATTAAAAAAAGTTATTTAATTTAAAATAAAATATAAAAATTTAATTAAAAAATAAAAAAATTATAAATTATAAATTTTTTTAGCATGATGCTTAATATAATTTTACCATTCCTATTACGGAAATTATTATTTACTTTTCTGGAACCAACTGCTCTCTAGGACCAGGAGTAAAACGAATGTCCTCCCCGCGCTCACGAAGAAAAGGAATGAAAATGTGGGGAAATTAAAAAAAAGAAAGAATAAAAGACAAAGGGAAAGGGCAGGAAAGAAGAAAAAAAAGAGAGGAAAAAACAAAGAAAACCAAATCGTCCTACTAAAAAAATGAATTTCCTTTGGGCGTTGTCGCCCGGCACTAAACACCGCGGCCTTTTGCCCAGCGTTAAACCCTAACATTAAACCTCTATAACGCCTCAAGATTGCTGAAACTCCATTCCTTAGGAAATTTAAAGCAATAAATTGGTTTATGGATTCCTTTTGAGGTTTTAATATATCAATGGTAGCTACCACAAGGTGCTTCAAGCTTCTCCTTCGATGCAAAGGCACTTTCAATTCCTATTCCAGTTTGATTCCAGGTTGGGGGAAGCGTGGGCATTATCCTCACGATGTAAGTCAAAACGCATCCATTTCTTTTTATCATCAACAAGTAATAGCGCCTACTTTTGAGTAGAAATTGATATAAGGCAGGAATTGGATTTTTTTTTTGTTTGTTAAACAGAAGCTGCGTTCCTACAAATTTCTTTGTTATTTTTTTAACCCGTGGATTGAGTTAAATATGTGGTTTGGATTGATTAATTTCTTATATTTTTCATATGTTTAGCATGTAATTGATGGCCATGCTTCTAATCCCAGAACTATATTACATCCATACCAGTTGGATTTCCTTGCATTTGCCTTCTTTACCCCACTGTAAGTAAAATCGTCGGAAATTATAAATTGCTTGCAACTCAGGCTGCCCCAGATGAAGAGGAAGTAACAGATGAAGTCTTGAATCAAATTCTGGCTACATGTGAAAACATGCCAAAGTCAAGCGGGAAAACCTGTAATGCTTATGTTCATAAGCTGTGCAAAGCTGGAAATCTTTCAATGGCTATCAGATTACTGCAATCCTTGAGAGATAAAAATATCTTCATCGCCGACGCATATAATACCCTTTTGGCTGCAGCCGCTGAAAGAAATGAGATTGTCCTTTCGTTTCAGATATTCAAAGATTTATTGGTGTTTCATGGACCCTTGAGCTCAACTTGTTATCTTAACCTTGCAAGGTCTTTTGTGAAGGCTAATGACTGTACAGCATTGATTAGATTTGTCAAACAAGTATCGGAATTGGCTTTCCCGAGTAGCACAACAGTTATAAACCGAATCATCCTTGCCTTTGCTGAATGCAGGCAGATAGAAAAGGCTCTTTTGGTATTTAATCAGATCAAGAGTTTTGGATGCAAGCCTGATGTGATAACATATAATATTATTTTGGATATCTTAGGTCGTGCTGGTCGGGTGGATGAAATGGTCCATGAGTTTGCCTCTATGAAGGAAGCTGGCTTGGTTCCAGATATCATTACTTACAATACGATATTGAACAATTTGAGGAAGCTTGGGAGGTTAGATATGTGCTTAGTGTTTTTCAGAGAAATGAGTGATACTGGAGTTGAACCTGATTTGCTTACTTATAGAGCAATGATTGAGATTTTTGGTCGATCAGGAAACATTAATGAAGCTTTAAGACTCTTCAGTGAGATGAAGCAGAGGCAGATCTATCCATCAGTTTACATATATCGATCTCTAATCTGCATTTTGAAGAAAGTGGGGAAGGTGGATTTGGTAATATCTTTTTCAGAGGAGATGAAGTCATCATCCCTTTCAGATATAGCTGCTACAGAGAATTTTAAACAAAAACGCAGGTAGTGATGTACTTGATCCAGGGTTAACCTCTGTAAGAGTTTTTTAGTGTTGTCTGGAGTACTTGAGCTTGGCTCGATGCAAGAGTAGGAATATGTCATGGATGTTCCCTCACACATTACTACTGATACTGGTATGTCTGTTCTGCTATCCAATGTTTTTTTGCCCCTTTGTTAACAATGCTTCAGTATAAGTTTAGCATGTTCATATAAGATTGTTTTTGGTGCCATCCCTGTAAATTTGTAATGTAACATGTGATTTATGTTAGATGATTGATAAATTGCATTTGTTGTGCAAGATTTATGCTTTCAGATGTGATTGCCATAACATGACTGGTGTGCAAGATTTATCTTCAACTATGTTAATGATATGTTGTTTTCCTTTTAGGTGTACTCTTGACATGAGAAGCAGAGGCCAGCAAAGTCAAAGGCCGAGCCTCAACCATGGAAAATATGTAGTGCAAATAAGCGGACCCTATTGTGCATAGCATTTGTATATCTTCTAATACAAATCAGTTGACAGTTCGCCGATTGCCAACATGAATTAAATTCAACGTAGTGTGCTTGTGACATTGGAAAAGCATTGTCAGCCTCATAGGTTTGAGATTTCTGAGTAGTGTGCTTGTGACAATATCCATTACCTTTGTATTATACTTCAAGCAACATACTTTGGCATTTCACTATACAAGTTGTGTATCATTTGACCCGAATGGATTTAACCAAGCTTCATCTATGCATTTTATGTGGTGTAAAAACATAGTATCTGTAATGACCCTCAATGGTGTGCCAACCTTCCTCCTTGTATTGAGTGAGCTTTGTGCCTTGATGCTTTTATTTTGGATCAAGAAACAAGGTGGACTCGTCTAAAGAGGACACAAACGCATCATGTAACATTCACAATTTTTCTGACATGGTGGTAAGAGTCCCTAGTTTTTCAGAGATTGTATAACACTGTTTTTGGTAAATGCCCATGTACTCCAACGTAGAGTAGTCTGGCAACAGAATAAAAGGGGCAAAATACTTGGGACGACGATGCTAGAATACCAGGAGGAAAACAAATGGCCGGTGAGATCCTTCACTCTCTAAAGCAGTAATTTTTTTTTGTAAGAAATAGAGTAAAATACTCAACATGTTTAACTATTAACTATTATTACAAGTAGGTTTATTAATTTTAAAAATAGATATTTCACTTCAAATGAATAAACGATGTTACTATTTAAACATGAAATGGTTAAAATGTTTTTTTTCTTTCTTCACCCTCTTTTTCTCAAGTCGGTCAACGAATATAGATCGGTTATTCGGTGGTTGGATCTGACAGTGAAATGTCAAATTCGACTAAATTTTCTCAAAGAAACACCAGATCGCGCTCCCCAAGCCAAGAGAGCATCGACCTGGTGCTCCTTGGCTCCTTAACGGTGCTCCCCTAACCTGAGAGCACCGTCAAGTGCTCCCTAAACCATGGGAGCATTGTCAAGTGTTCCTCAAGCCATGGGATCGCTCGATCAGCTCCCCTGGCTTGGGGAGCACCGTCAAGTGCTCCCATGGTGCTCCCTAGGCCAGAGGAGCGTGGTCAAAGATCTGACTGGATTTGGCCATGTATGACCAGATTCGACTGAGAGGTGGCCGATCGATTATGGGAGTGTCGCTTGTTTGAGGGTGAAGATTTTTTTAATAGAAAATTTTTTCAAAAATATAAAATTAAAATTTATATATTGTATAATGTTTGAAATTAATGAAAAGTAAAATTATTCAAAAAATATTATCATAGCAGTAAATTAATGAAATTTTAAAAATTGAATTTATATGTCCAACAAATAATAATTTTTAAGACAGATTATTTATTTTTTATATTAATAAATTTGTGTAAAATTTTGATTAAAACTTAAAAGTTCTCTGAAGAAATATTATATCCTATGAAATGCTGGCAAGTGAGACAGAAAAAGGCGTTATCACAATAAAAGAGCCACGAGACATCCATATCCGGAGCAGAACAAGAACTATGGATTGAATGGATTCTCTTCGAATATTATGAGACTAACATCCACTATTTGATACCCAATATATATATATATATATATATATATATAAAGAACAAAATTAAAAATGATAGCAAATTAAATTTAGAGGAATCAAGATCTAAATATATAGGAAAAACTTAAGATGGAAACTTGTCTCAGATTCGACTGGTGTCCCTTCCAAATGTGTACCGTCTAAACCAGTCAGATACCACCAGCATCCTAGTGCGCCAGCTGACTAGCTTGCTGAGAGTGGAAACAACCATCAGGATTTGATAATGAGCTAATAACAACCAAAGCTGAAATGAGATTTACCTTGCATAGACTGAATACCAAAGCCACTGGGTGCTATGACCAATTGAAACCCAGTCTCCCGGCAGTTGAGCTGCAGTTTGTTCTCCTCCTAGTGGAGCAAATTGCCCAAAATGTTTATACCTGAAATTGGTCAACATAAGTTTAATCATATTTTTCCGTTTCAGCAATTTCTGGTTTTTCACCCCTACAGCTTTGCACTCCAGCTTCCAAACTGGAGCGGCACAAGTAGCCGGAAGTTGAAGCTTGAAAGATTTTTAGATGTTCAATGCCTATTAACAAGATAATTTCAGGCTGTACCTGAAGGGATGAAAACGATGTTGGCCTGATGTTCGGAACCTGCGAGGACCTTCAGGATACATTTCGCACTTCTCCATACGATTGAAACATTTCGCGAGGTACTCACCTTGTTGAGCAGCGACCTAGATTGTATTCAAAAACCTCAACGTTTAAAACTGTATGATGGAACCAAATTCCCCGGAAAAATGAAAATGAACTACCAACTTACCTGAGCTGTTGCGGGAAGATTTTTCATCTGAGTATCCACTTCTGAGAGAGCTTTCTCAAATTTTTCAATGTCAATTTCCCCTTCATAGTTATCGAGTAAAGCAACCATGTTTTTCACTTTGCTCTTCTTCAAATAAAGCTCCACTTGAGGGTACCTCTCTGTGATGTCTCCTATAACTTCTCTGAATTCTTGTTTATTCAAATGACCAGTATCATTCGTTTTGGCCTGGCCAAAAATGGCCGATATATCCTCCTAGTAAATTGTCAACAACAAGCAACATAACAGAACTTAATAGCAGATCTCTCTATGATAACGCGCGAATAATGCATCTCATCAACAACAGGATTTTCATGGTTAAATAATTATACTACCCAAATTCATGTTCAAGTTGAGGTTAAAGGCCTGAAGCGAGACCAAGTCTACATGCTAAGTTAACAATGAAATTGAAACACAAGTTATCGAGCAAGCAAAACTAACTTAAAAGTGGCAAACTAGTCACGTAGACATAAATTTTACCATGACTTTTCGTTGATTAATGGTAGCACAATCACCCAGAGCATATACATTATCGCATCCTTCAACTCTCAGCCATTCATCTGTTGCTAAAACGCGCCTGCTACCCTGTGGTCACAACATTAAAAAACATTAAAATCATCTTCAAAAGAAGAAGAAGAAATGGCCTGATCAATGGTTGAAATCAGTTCAGACAAAAAAAAAATGTACTATTTAAACCTGTCCAATTTGCTTCATGAAGTCCAATATGACTGGACGAGGTGCAATACCAGTTGACCAGACGACCAATCCATATGGGAGAGTACTACATTGGCCAGTTGCTCTATCTTTAGTGGAAACATCCTTTTCCGACACTTTTGTGACCATTGAACCTGTCTTCAGATCGATACCGTCTCTTTGGAACTTTGTTTCAGCAAATTGAGAAATCCTCTTGTCATACCTGCGAATTGAAATGAGAGGAGATGCGAATTGAAATGAGAGGAGATGTTCTGACTCACCAGAGCCAAGTTCCAGAAGGCTAACTGTTAATACTTGAATTCATAAAGTAGAAAACAGGAGAAATTGGAACAAACAAGATGCTTTTGGAAATGCTCTCTAGATATCTTACATGTTTAAGATATGATCGCCTGCTTCAAGAAGTGTAATTTTTGCGAGGTTACTGACTGAAGGATACAATTTAGATATATCCTGAACTACAATGTCATGAAGCTCTGCAGCAAACTCAACACCAACTGGACCACCGCCAACGACAACAAAATGCAAGATCCTCTTCCTCTCTTCATCACTCACACTAGGAAGACTTGCCCTTTCAAAACAGTCAATCACTGTGTTGCGGAGCTTCTGAGCATCTTCCACTTCCTACATGACAAAAGAATTCAATCTTTATTAGGATAGTTTTAGAACAGCTTCCAATTAAGCTGTAAACCAGAATTCTGACAAATATTTTCTAGGTTAAAAAAACAAAGAAGCAAGGCCTTAATCTTCATCAAGCAGAGAAATTTTTTAAATAAAAACATTTACATGTATTGTACTACCTTGAGAAAGTGTGCATATTCTGAAACACCTGGGGTATTAAATGTATTTACTTGAGCTCCCACAGCTATGATTAAGATATCATAATCCATGATGAATTCTCCTTTGCCTCCTAAATTGGTGACTTGAGCAGACTTGCAGTGAAGTATCTTCTTGCTTGCGTCGATCTTAAGACATTCAGCTTCCATGAAATCAATTTGGTAACCTCTCTGCCATGAGACATAAAAAGAAAAGCAATTACCATGAGGCATTCAGTACGCTAACAGTACTTTAGAGGAAAAAACAGAAAGTAATTCTATCTCAATATAATTTTTATGCATACCTTCCTGACAATGTTGCGAATCGGCTCAACAACGCTGCGTGCTTCTACTGTTCCACTAGTCACACTCGGTAACAAAGGAGTGAATGCAAAATAATTGCGGGGTGACACGACTTGAACTTCATAGGAATCACTTTTCAAATTTTTCAAAAAACTGGTGGCAGCCCAACCAGTGCCGAGCACCACCACCTTCTTCTTCTTACATTCAGGTTTCTGACCAGCATCATTCAACACTGTTTGGAATGGCCTGTCATCACTGAAGGCCAGTAGACTACCACCACTGCAGTCGAATACAAGTCAAAAACAATACGTAGTAAAGAATATACATTCATCATATGTATAGTACTAATTTCATGTGAATACCCAAAAATAATATATACTACAAAAGAAAGAAAATTTCAAGCATTTGCCATAAAGAATAATTATAAAAGAACAAACAGGAATGCAATACTACTGGAAACGAATAGCAAAGCAGAACATTAACGTATACTAAGGCAAAGCAACAGAAGAAGAGCTTTCTTTATCAACTTTGAAGGGGGGGCCATGTGTCTTGTTTATAACATCTGAATCTCAGTATATTACTATTAAAGAGAAATTCAACAAAGCATAACCATACAACAACTCAAAACAACTGGAAAGCAACAAAAAACACAAAAGAAGAATGCTAAATGCAAAATCACTTGATATACCCGACGGTAGAGACAACAAGAAGCTTAGACAATGAGGGGTATGTCTGAAAAACCCTCGAGACCTTCGCGTAGAACGTGTAGCCGCGCATTCTGTTGTTACTGCAAAGAAACCCTACCTTTCTCTTTCTTTTCAAAGAAGCAAGAGAGTGAAGATTTATACAGGGAGAAACTTGGAGAATCTGTTCATGAAAATGGAAAGTGTATCAGTTTCTTCTGTCTTACGTAGGGAAAAACTTAAACACTAGCGAGGGTTGAGGAAAAACTGCCACGTAAATAATTTTAAGCGAATTTTTTTCGCATAGACTTTTTAAAACCAAGAGAATAAAACACGTGTCTTTTGCTCAGAGACAAAGATCTCCTTCTCATTAGGAGTTTTGACACATATGTAATGGCTTAACCACTTATGAACGAATTTATAGGCACGCCCTCTGATCGAGTTTGGACGGTCATGATTTATCTTGTGGTTTTTTTTTTCCTTCTTAAGCCATAAACTATGGCCTATAATCTTGGGGTTTAAAGAAATTTTCATTATTTATGACTTACATGGTAAACCTATTTCAAGTGTTCTAACAAATATGTGGTATTTTTCAAAGAATCTTAACAATTCATAGGAAGATATTTTGACTAAATTTCATCAAACTAAAGTTTTACCCTTTTTCTTTTCTTATTTTGGTTTATTAAGCTTTAATTCGTCTTAATTGAGTCAATATTTTTATAATATGTCAAATGTGGTTACCGTGGAAGATTTTGATAACCTTTAGTCGTGGATGACTCTAAAGGCCGGGGGAGTTACCTTTATCAATGAGGTTTAAATTGATTCTTCCTTTTGTACACTAAGTTATGACTTTTTGACCTTGTAGCTTAACGTGGTTCCCTATTGATTTCATTTTTTCTATGATAAAAAGGGGAAAAGGTTTTGAATTTCTAAAAATTTTAATCTTGATCTTGTAACTTAACATACCATATTATGAACTTTTTGAACATTGAACTATTGAGGGTGGTTTTTCAAAATTTTCAAAATATTTTAACTCTCATCATTATTTTTTTTAAGCTTAACATTTCTCAATATTTGCATGCTTATTCAGATATTTTTATTAAATAAAAATATTATCATATCAAAAAGAGAAAAATTATTAACTTTAAATAGATTCTTATTTTTAAAATGATAAAAGTAAATGATCTATAATAAGTTTTATTTTAAATTCATTCCTTGTAAGCTACTAAACGTGCAATAACTTTAAAAATGGACTTGTATCTAGCAAGCCACAAAAACTAAAAGAAAAAATGGCTTTTCTACATCATCAAAAAACTAGACGTCACAATAAGGTTCAATAAATACTCATGATTATGTAAAACAAGAGAATTATTATGAATATATATATATATATATATAAATGTCTATTATGTTATGATCAAATAAGTTCAAATTAAGTTAAACAGCACAAGAAGTCAAACACAAGAAGTGTAATCTAATTTTAAGTTTTATATTTCATTTTATATATCTAAATTTGGAGATGGATTAAATTGTATTAAGATTGAGATTTAAGGGGTTATTAGCCTATAAATAGTTCATTCACTTTGTTTATAAATACATTTTCGAATAAGATTTTTTTACTCTTTTTAAATATTTTCTCTCATAATTATTCTTTCAAAGATATTAAATAATGCAATCATTAGGGGGAGTAGAATACGCACTGTACTCTTTCTTTCATAAGTTTTTTTTACTAGATTTTTCTTTGTAAGGTTTTAATGAGACGATATTTCAAAGGCAGATTCTTAAAAATAATTATGTACTTTTTTTTCTTCACTCGAATTTTTTTTCTAATAAGGTTTTAACAAGGCATTTTCTTAATACAATAGACATTCAAGGAAGGATATTATGAATATATGTGTAAATGTCCATTATGCTATAATTTTAGAAATTTCGACCAAGTCAAACAACGTAATAGGCTAAACATAAAAAGTATAATCTAATTTAAACTCTTATATTTGATTATGTATATATAGATTTGGATATATATTAACTTGGATTAAAATTAAAATTTAAGAGATTATTAACTTATAAATAGTCGCCTTACTTTCTTTGTAAATACATTCTTGAATAAGATCTTTTTACTCTATCTAAATACTTTCTCTCGTAGTTTTTTTTAAAATTATATTTCATAACAAGAACAGAGATTTCTTCTTTTGTTCTTGTTTTTTTAATATCTATATGGATGATCTTATTTTTGCAAAAAATCAACTTAAGATGTTTGAGATTTTAAGAAGACTATGATTCAAAAAGTTTGAGATGAATGACATGGGACCATGTCCTAATATTAAGGAGTCCAAGTAAATCAAATAAAAACAGATGTTTTCATCTCACAAGAAGGATTTGCAAAAGTGATGCTTGAGAAGTTCAACATATTCAATTGTAAGTCCATTAACACCCCATAGAATTTGGAGAATCCTAACAAATTACAAATGATGGCAACCAAAGGGTACTTTATTACATCAAAAGAACTCTTGGTCATGAGATTTTTAATTCATCCTCTAACAAGTTTAGGTTGATGGGTTTTATGATAGTTATTTTGTTTCATGAAATTCAAAGAAGCAACTCATTATGTCACACTTTCTTATTTACAAGACAAAGTATGTTCCAATCACCTCTTGCTCTTGCCATGCTATATGGTTGAGAAGATTGTTGAAGGAACTTCACTTGAAGCAAAGAAATGCTACAAAGACAATGATTCACAACAAGTTGGCTCAAGTTTTGATATATATATATATATATAATGCATCACTAAGAAAAGAGTAGGTGAAGTCCATGAATCAAGTTGTCCATATTTTGGCAAAGCCTCTACAACATTGCTAGAGTGGGTTGCATGGTGAATCAAGTTAAACTATGGTCTAATTGTTCAAAGGTAATTCTCAATTTGAAAATCAAGTTGGGTGAAGAACTAGTGAGAAGCATTAGTCTTGAAGGTTGAAGGAAGACCGTTGGAGCAAAAATGGTGTCATCTCTTGATTAAATAGGCTGGTGATATAAAATGTCAGGTTTTTGTGTCGTTTGTTCTTGGTTTTATATCTGGTATATTTAAAACGGTATTGCTCTTGTCGTTTCACTTTATTTCTTATTATTTGGTCTTGTATGCACCATTTAGGTGCCATTTTGATTGTCTTTTCTCAATCTTTGTTGTAAGGCTAACAACCATGTCTGTTTCTTTTCAAATTTATTGTTAAACTGCTTGTTGTTTCTTGTGCAGCTCCTTCCTAGATCCAATTTAATCTCTAGAAACTAAAAGCTAGGAAATGTTGTTATTGTTAAAAGAATAAATACAAATTTGAAAAATGAATCCAGTTTTTTGGATCAAAAATTATTTTTTGCTCTAAAATTTTCTTTGGTTCTTGCTCTGGTTGTCTCTAGTTTTGAATTTCTTTTTTTATTTTTCAGAAAAGCTTTAGTTCATCTTTTGTTCAAATAGTATCAGAGCTGTATAATGATCTTAAGGGTCCAAGTTTAATCATTTACCATGACTTTCGGTTTCAATTCATCTACTCCACCAAAGTTAACCAAAGAGAATTATTTTTTCTAGAGTGTGAAAATGGAGTTATATCTCAAAGCTTTCATTCTTTGGGAAGTTGTGGAAACCGACGAACCATATCTCAAAGCTCTCACTCTTTGGAAATTTGTGGAAACTAACGACGAGCAAGTTCAAAGGAGAGCTAATCCAACACTTGCCCAGATCAGTCAATTTGAGGAAGACAAACAAAAAGGTATAAAGCTTTATATTGCCTACACTCAGCTTTATCTAATGAAACTTTTGCACGAGTTATGCATTTAAGGACTTTTAAATAAGTTTGAGATTATTTGAAAAATGAATTTTTTGGAAGTGAAAGAACTAAGTAGATTTAAGCATTCAATGTAACTCAAAAGTTTGAAATGCTTAGAATAAAGGATAATGAAAACATTAGAGGCTTTTCTGGAAGAATGATGGGACTAGTGAACCAATCGAGGTTACTAAGGAAGGAAATTACTGAGGAAAGATTAGTGAGTAACATGTATGTTAGTCTACCTGAAAAATGTGAATTTAAGGTGTCATCGTTAGAAGATTCCAAAGATCTTACTCAATTAACACTAAAAAAATTAGTTAATGCACTAGAGGGTCTTAAACAGAGGAGAGCTTTTAGACAAAGAAGTGCAGTTGGTTTTGTCTTAGCAGTTAAAACTAAAACCTTAAAGGAGAGTGGTAGAAGTGCAAAAGGTAGTTCAGCTGATAAGAAAAACAAAAGGAAAAATCTTGGAGAGAATAAGTAGTGGGATAAAAAAAATGAGTATCCACTATGTTAACATTGTAAAAAAACCAATCATACTGAGAAGTATTGTTGGTATAGACAAATGTTAAATGCAGGGCTTGTAGTCAACAAGGACATGTTGAAAAAGTATGTAAGAATCGTTCTAAAGTGAATGCAAAAACTATTGTAGTTGAACAAGTAGATGATAATACTAAAGAGGTCCTTTTTGTGGCACCTAGTGGGGAAGATTCAAGTAAAACCAATATTTGGTTGTTGGAATGTGCTTGTTCACATCATTTGATTAGTAGTAAGTCTCTTTTTACTACTCTTGACACAAGCTTTAAGTCAAAAGTGAAGATTGGAGATGGCAATTATCTAGATATACTTGGGGTAGGTACTGTCAATGTTGATACTACTTCAAGAAGCAAGTGTATAATTAGTGTGCATTATGTGTTTAGTGCTAATCACAATCTGTTTAGTGTGGGACAGTTGATAAAAGAACATTATACTTGACTGTTTAGAGATGAAGTATGTACTATAATTGACACCAATAGAGATGGGTTGTGTACTATTGCTATGAGAAACAATTGTTATCCTCTTAATTTAGCTAATACTGCTCATTTAGCCCTATATAATGAACTGGATATGTTAAAAATGTGGCACAGGAGATTTGGTCATGTAAACTACAATTCTTTGTCACTTTTGCCTTCAAGGAATCTAGTGGTATAAAATGTCAAGTTCTTGTGTCATTTGTTCTTGGTTTGAAGTCTGGTGTATTTAAAATGATATTATTCTTGTCGTTTCAATTCGTTTCTTATTGGTCGGTCTTGTACGAACCATTTAAGTGCCATTTTGATTGTCTCTTCTCAGTATCTGTTGTAAGGCCAACAGCCGTACCTGTTTCTTTTCAAATTTACCATTAAGCTACTTCTTGATTCTTGTACAGCTCCTCCCTCGATCCGATTTAATCTTCAAAAACTAAAATCTAGAAAATGTTGTTATTGTTAGAAAAATAAATACAAATTTGAAAAATAGAACCTTGAATTTTGGATCAAAAATTATTTTTTGCTCTAAAATTTTCTCTAGTTCTTGCTCTAGTTTTCTCCAGTTTTGAATCTCTCTTTATTTTCCAAAAAAGCTTCAATTCGTCTTTTCTTCACTAATTCAGTTTCAATCGGGATTTGACCATCGTCTAACTTGAGTTTGTTTGATGAAGCAACTTTTCATAATAATAGCAATATAGAAATATACAACAGATGCAATTGCAAACACCATACGACCGAAGTATTATTGAGTCCCCAAACTTATTTACAATGTTCTCGTGTTGCTGCCTCAAATGCGGCTTGAGTCTCTTCCAAAAATGAATCTTCGAGTCCAATCAGATACCACCAACAGCCTAGTACGCCAGCTCACTTGTTTGCTGCATGCGCGAGAAAATTGTGTCAAATTATATTCTTTGATATGACATATAATAACTTGCTGAGCAGGCAAGCAACTGTGAAACACCAGGAGGAGCAGGAATCACCTCGCATATACAGAATACCAGAGCCATTGTGTGCTATGACCAATGGAAACCCAGTCTCCAGGCAGCTCAGCAGCTGCTTGCTCCCCTCCTAAAGGGAGCAAATTGCCCAAGATGTTTGTATCTTGTAGGTGCAAAGAAAATCAAATTAGAAAGCAACAGAGAAGTAATGGCCCACAGTTGACTCTACGTGCTAGAATGTGCTATTAGGCATAATTATTCACTCAGTCAGGGCTCAGCTCTTGTGCGCTGACCATAAAATTCACCCAGCGACCTGTCATGTAGCCGGATGAAGATTAATTTCAAGAAAAAATTTCCAAACTCATTTCATTAAGGCAAAGCACTTAAAAGAAAGTGGCTTTTGCCAGAGTTATCAGCTGGTTTCTAATTATTTAACTCCAAATCCATTACCTTCAAATTAAACATAAAATCCTAGCTATCACACTGTGCCTAACTTTGAATCCAAAACAGCTTATTGCACTGCCTTCTCTATATAAAATGCATAACAATCCAGTCAGAAGTTCTTGAAAAACATTATGAGACAGAAACAGACAAGACTGATAGAAAAGAATAACCAGAATACATCAGATATCACCCCAAGTTTAGCTGCAGGAAAAATACACTGATCAACGCCATTATACCCCAGAACCCAACTAATGTTAATGTGTGCAACGAACAAGCCCAATAACAGCTGATAGTTCTTTTGTACTTTGTCAACAAATTTTTAATTTGTCCATGATAATATGAATGCACTCATATAATGCTATAATGCACTTTATCTAAATACTTGTACAGAATACAACTAAGGTCACATACCGAAATGGATGGAATTGATGACGACCAGACCCTTTGAAACGCCTTGGGCCTTCAGGATTATCTTCACACTGCTGCCTGCGGTTGAAGCATTTAGAGAGATATGCACCTTGTTGTGCAGCAACCTGAATATAAAACAATGAAAATGTGTAGTCGCTATACTACCATTGACAATGGAAACCATAAACTCAAGTAAAAGCCTAGTCCAAGTTGTATGTCAATGACAAATACCTGGGCAGTTGCTGGCAGATTCTTCATTTGCGAATCCACATGAGAAAGGGCTAACTTAAACCCTTCAATGTCCACTTCATCTCTAGCATTCCCCTCAGGATCTTTCAACAGATCTGTTACATCACTCAGGTGCTTGCTCTTCAGATAGTGTTCCACTTGAGGATACCTTTCAAGGATGTCGTCTATAACATCTTGAAATTCTTTAACAGTTAAGGCACCAGAGTTATCTTTGTCTGCAGCCTTAAATATGGTAGCAATATCTTCCTGAAGGAACATAATGGCGAATTACAAATTACCGTTACTGGAAAGTATACACACACATATAATATGGAATAAAAGGAATTTTAAGCCCCCATAACTGGCATAAAGGACTAACATGCAGAGAGGAAAATGGGAAGCAAGAAGAAGAGAAGGTATAGAACTGCCCTTGATTACGTTTGCTAAGAAGAATTTCTCTGAAAGTACTTAGCAGGGCCATCATATTTTCAGCATTTCTTTACTCTTGAATGGTAGCCTTGTGTCTATCATTCACTTTACAAGATCAGTAGTAGCAAAGATCACAAACAAGCTGATGTTTAGCCTAGTAACAACATCATCTAATATAATATTTGATATGATCTGAACTGATAAACTCAAAGGCTTAATTGCATTACTTGAAAGGTACTCCAGTCTTCAGCTTATTGTTCCAAAGTAAACATATACCACATATCAGTATGACATCAAGTATATCAATACATGCTCATTTTCCTCCAGTACAAAGTTATAATTTCTTCACCGTCAGACAATATGAAGTTATTTAATACTCCATCAGTTGAAGAATGAGGATAAAGGATGCATGAATTCCTAGTGACATTACTTGCATAAAGAGTTTGGCAGTTTGAACTGCAGTAAATTTCATATTATATAGAGATGCTTCTGTAAAGTGGAACACAAGATGCAACTGATGCCAAACAAGTAGCTAAATCTGATTACTTCACAAATCAGAAAATAAAGTGAGATGGTCAAAGTAATGTACCATGACTTTTCGCTGATTTATAGTAGCACAATCACCAAGGGCATACACATCTGCACATCCTTTTACTCGCAACCATTCATCAGTTGCTAGAACACGTCTGCGACCCTGAAATGTCAAATCTTATATAAGTGCACTAGTGCAAGATAACCAACCATTTCAAACATACCAACTGAAGGCAAGAATATAGGAGTTATGTTTGTCTGAAAATAACATGGAATCCCTAGAACTTTGGTTCTAGGATTGCAGAAAAAATCATCATAGACAGTTAAAACTTGATATTCAAAGTCGTTACAATCACAGAGAATTTTTGCCACTAACCTGCCCAATTTGCCCCATGAAGTCTTTCACAACAGGGCGAGTCTCAACACCAGTAGACCAAACAACCAATCCATGGGGTACAGAACAAACCTCTCCTTTTGATTTGAGCTTCATAGTGATTTCCTTATCAGAAACACTAATAACCCGACATCCAGTTTGAACTTCAATACCATCTCTGCTAAATTTCTGCTCAGCAAAAGAACTTATTCGTTCATCAAACCTACAGAGACAGAGATTAAAATCTGCTAAGTTCTTATTTGTGATTTTTTTTTGTACACTGCTTTGCAATTTATAGGCAACATTGCAAGTAACTCACTAGGAATAAAAAAGACACTGGTAACCCTACCATGTTTGGGTATAAAATATGACTGAGTAATTAGTACATTCAGCTTCATGTATTATATTTCATGTTGCAATCACAGAGAATGAATAAGTGAAAGATAAATGGAATAAGTAACTTTTAAAAGATTAATGGAAGAGAATAGTACAGTGCAGTCACTGAAACCCAAAAAGCATAAAAAGCAATAAGATGAAAAATTGCAACCTCTCTTACATGTTCAAAATATGGTCCCCTGATTGAATCACCGTTATTTTCACTAGATCTTTCACTGTAGGATATAAGTTGACCAAATCCTCCTGAACATAGTCATGCAACTCTGCCGCAAACTCCACGCCAGTAGGACCCCCTCCAACAATTACAAAATGAAGGTTTATCCTTCGCTCTTCTTCACTTAGTCCAGGAAGGACCGCCTTTTCAAAACAATCAATAACGCTCCTGCGTATCTTCTGTGCATCCTCTACTTCCTGCATGCAATTTTGCAGTTCTCCACAAGTTAAAAGAAATTTCAGGACCTCATTAACAACTGATTATCAATCTCTAGTGACATTCAAAAGTTTCAAGAGGGAGCCCAGAAAGAATTTCTTTACAAAAGGAAGAGTTCTGGAATGTTAACAAACATCTTCTTTTACTACCATATGTATGATATGTAGAACTAAAAATTTCTTTACCTTTAGAAAATGACAGTTCTCCACAACCCCAGGGGTGTTAAAGGTATTTACTTGTGCTCCCACTGCTATAACCAGATAGTCATATCCCAAAGAGAATTCTTCATTTCCAACCAAGTTGTTGTCAAAAGTAGAACGACACAGAATTTTCTTGTTTGCAGCATCGATCTTGATACATTCTGCTTCACAAAATTGTATTTCTCCATTTCTCTGTCAGAAACAATAAATTTGCTTTTAAATTTCTCTTACAATTGTTATGATATTAAGCAACTAACATGCCAAAAATAACCCCTCAGAGCAATAACAATGTGGTCTCACCAATGCCAAGCAACTAAATAGTGTTTGCAATGTGCAATGTGTAAAAGTATTGATAGTATGATACTAACCAGAACACTTTATCACAAAATGAAACTATATGCCTTCTTCAGCAGTAAATAGACTATGGAACTTAAAAAGTGAAAAACGTTTGCAATTTAAGGAAATGAAAAACAAAAAAGCAGATATACCCCAACTCAGTACTTTTAATCCCAAACTAGTTCAAACATTCCTGCCTTTTCAAAACAAGGAAAACAAAAAGAGAAAAAAGAACAAAGAAAATAAATTGCAGATAAGAGGAAAAATATTTTGTGTAGCTCTAGTTTCTTTCAGCTACCTTCTTTATAATGTTCCGGACAGGCTCCACAATGCTCCGTGCTTCAACTGTTCCACAGGTGACACTAGGCAATAATGGGGTGAACGCAAAATAATTTCTGGGCGAAATAACCTGAACATCATGTGTAGAAACATCAAGATCTTTAAGGAAACTAATACCAGCCCATCCTGTTCCCAGAACCACCACTCTCCTTTTCTTGCAGTCTTTTTCATCGATTTTTACACTGGTGTTGCTAACATCTGTTTGTGATTCTGAGTAGGCCACAAGACTCCCACTACTGCACTAGATCAAAAGAAAGAACGCAAACCATAAATTGTAATTAGTGTACTTTGTAAAACAATGGGCTTTATCTAAAATTAATGTAGTAGAACATGTAGAAACGCAAAGCAAAGCAATGACTTTAAAATCTCCTAGGATTCCATTTTTTTTTTTCTGAAGGCCAAATGGTTATACTTCTTTCTTTGAAATAGCAGCAACATGCGACTGAGATATGCAAAATAAGGAAATTTAATCATTACCAAGTAGGCAATTTTGCCTCTTTAGTAAGGAGTATGGAACTATTCCTTGCTTTTGATAATACCACAAAATTTTGCGGATCATTTGATTAACTTTAACCGTGCATCCTTGAAATGCAACAAGGTGTCCAAGTATGGAAGCACGTTTTCAAGCAGAAAAAAAAATGAAAGTTTGTCTTTTTCGGAAAGGGATAATTTGTTTGCTTAGCATGCACAGCTCGACAAACAAAAGCATCAGAGAATTAAATCAGCTCTCTTTATATTTAACCATAGATACCAATACCAGTGGAAAGTATAATCACCCTTTTTCACGTAGTAGAACATGATTTTTTATTTCATTAAGTGATAATACAAGTAGTTATCAAACCAATGCATATTTATAACACTTACATTTCGCATTATGAACAGCAAACTATAAAATGAAAGGAAACATTTTACAATCACGTTTCCACTTAACAGTAAAGTCAAATTATTTATAAAAAAAAAAAAAACCAAAAAAAGAGGGGGGGGGGGGGGGGGCGGGTGGGTGTTGGGGGGGGGAATGAGGGATGGAAAGCACCTCTGCTACAATAAGTTAAAGTGTGCGCAAGGCAAAAACAAGGCTTAAACTCTAAATGTATAATAAAACTAAAACCCTAAACTATAATAATATCAGATTCACTCTGTTTTGATCCCACGAGATAAAACCCTGATCTATATTAGAGCAGTAAGAGCTGGACAAGTTACTGTTTAAGTTTGATTTTAATGCCTTCAATCTACAAATAACAAAAACTAAAATAAAAATCCAAAATTTCACTTTTCACACTTCCCGTACAATGTCAGCAGTCAAACATAAGCCCAAAGGACACAAAACAAACAAGAAAATAATGAAAACAGGAAAAGGGTATTTCCTTAAACAGTGCAAAAGGAAGGAACCTGAGAGTGCAGAGAACCAGAAGCTTAGAGCAAGCAGGGTAGCCATTGAAAGACCTAGAAGCTCTGCAGAAGAAGGAGAGAATTGTCATTTTCAAAGAAAGGAGGAGAACTTCGAGTGATCTTCCAAAGAATCAGGAGATATTTTAGCTCCTCCTTGTCACAGCTACAAGAACAGAACAGGGGAGTTAGAAAACAAAAAACAGTTTACTCGGCGTTAAAACGAGTCGAAGATCCGTTGCTCATTGCTCATAAGCTCTCTACACTTGGTTGACTTTACACGTGGCTTGCTGGAAAGACATACTTGTATATCATCCTCAGATCCTATTACTTTGGTGATTTTACCTCCAGCACAAACATATTTATTTGATTACCCTTTCTCTACTTAAGATAAAAAAAACATACTCCACGAGAATCAACGCTTTTATAGATTGATGTTGTGCTTGTTAAAATCTAAAGCATAAACAATTAAGATATTTTAAAAAATAATTTTTTATGAAATTTTAATTATTTTTAATTAAGTTAGATAAAATTATCTTTAATAAAATTATACACTATGATGTTACATATTATGTATAAAAACATGTTATACGTCATAGTTAGGTTATTACATATCATCTATAAAAACATATGACATGATATGGTTAGCTTGTTATATGCCATGATTAAGTTGTTACACATTATATATAAAAATATGTGACATTTTATGGTTAGGTTGTTACATGTCATGTACAAAAACATATTACACATCATGGTTAAGTTGTTACACGTCATGTTAAAAAAATACTGTTATTACACGCTATGTACAAAAATATGTTACACGCCATGATTAAAAAATGTTGTTACACTGTTAAAAAAAAATATTGTTATTACATGTTATATTGAAAAAATAATATTATTACATGTCATATTCAAAAACATTTTGTTACACTTTAATGTCTAAACTGTTGTTGTTACTTACAAACTAAAACATCAAATCCTCTCAACTCTTTTTATTTTTTTTATTTTTTTGATAATTTGGCATCGATTAAAGTGTTTTTAACATGTTTTTATAAATCAAAACATAAATTTTCTTATCTAAAATACCTATTTGGATTAAAAATTAGAAAAAATTTCATTAAAAACTTAGGTTTATAAATTTTAAAATTTTGAGTTTATTGATGTCTAGATCTTGAATTGATCCAATTAAAAGTTATTTTAAAAATTTGTTATCATTTTTACTATGTAGTTTTATCCAAAATATCTAAAAATCAAATTCTCCAAAGAGCTATCCACTCAAACACATCAAAATTATCGTTTAGTGTCTTCAAAGAGCTGAAAAGAGAAATCTGAAAGCCCGAAAGAGAGAAATCGGAAGCATAGTAAACGAATATCGAAGAAATAAATCGATAAAATTAGAGAGAGTGAGATGTTGAGAGGGAAAAATCAAAAGCACAAATGAGAAGAAATTGTGATGAATAGTTTAATTTATTTGAAATAATTTTAAAAGTGTTTTTATTAAGTCATAATTAAATATAATTAAAAATAATTAAATTTATTTTAATAATTATTTTTAAAATATTTTTATCAAAAAAAATTATTTCTCATAATTTCTCTAAATAATTTGATGACTTGTTCTTGTAATAGTGGTGTTGCACATCTAATCCATATCTTTATCAGCTTTTGCATTTCTTTCAAAAATAAAAAATAAGAAGAAGAAAATGGAACGAGCAGTCACTAAGAAAGCACGTAGGCATAAAAAGCCGACAAATTTACGCCACTCTCAACCCCTTAAACCAAACCTTGGATTATTCCGATTTGCATTTTCAGCTTTTACTTTTTACTTTCATTGATTGAGCTTTGCTTTCAGTTTCCTGAAGCCTTCCTTTTCTTTTCTTTTTAATTTTTTTTTCATTTTTTTCAATTTTATATATTGTCTAAGAGGAATGGATGAAGGTTTAACCTTTTTTATATATATGGTCATGATTATATATATATATATATATATATATTAATGATCAAAATATCTCAACATTTTTTATACTCATATATATCTTTTTAATTTAATTTTTTATTTAAAATCAAAATAAATTTAGTCTTTCTATTTTAAAAATTATTTTAATTTAATTTATTATTTTAATAATATTTAATTTAACAATTAAAGATGATGATATCAACATTAGCGTGACGTTGACATGACAACATCTATATATGGACATATTGACGTGGCATTGCCACATCATCCAAATCATCTAAAAATGTCAGTGCCATAGGACACCGACATGCTAACATGTTAGAAGAACTCAATTAAAGAAAAACTTTGATTTAGGAACTAAATTGAATAAATATTTAATATACAGGGACTAAATTGAACCCAAAAATATAAAAAAAATTAAAATATAAGGAATATATATATATAGCTCACTTTTCATAATATTAAATGTCTTTTCTTGTTAGTAGTATTTCAATAATACATATATTAAACTAGTATAAAAAAAATTACAAAAGGAGTCATATATTAGCTTTATGTTAATTGCTTTCAAAGGTACTTTGATAGTTGTATAGCTCCATTTCAAATGTATTATTTAATTAAGTATATATTATAACTATCAAAGTACCTTGGAAAGCAATTAGCATAAAGCAAATACATGGCTCCATGTCAAATGTATTATTACTATCAAAGCACCTTTGAAAGCAATTAGTATGAAGCTATATTGCTCCATTGGTATTTTTCTTTTATATTAGTTCAATATATGCATTATTGAAATCACACTAATGAGAAAAGATACTTAATAATCTGAAAATTGAGCTAAATATATATATATTCCTTATATTTCAAAAAAAAAAAAATTTTGGGGTTCAATTTAGTCCCATATACTAAATATTTATTTAATTTAGTTTTTGTATCATATTTTTTTAATTTAGTCCCTTTGACATGTTAGCATGTTAGTGCCACATGGTACTAACATTCTCAAACAATTTGAGTAATGTGACAATGTCATGTCAGCATGTCGACTACAAATATGCTGCCACATCATTGCTGACGTCATCACCTTTGAAAGTCAAATTAGATGTCATCAGAAGGAGAGATTAAATTGAAACAATTTTCAAAATTAAGAAACTAAATTGTTACGATTTTAAGTAAAGAGGTTAAATTGAAAAAAATACATAAATACAGGGACCACTATGGTATTTTAACCATTATTTAATCCATAGGTTTGACTTTGGTTTTTTTATATATTTTTGTTTTTTCTTTAACTTTATATGTATTATTTAATTCAAATTTAATGTATTTTTCATTAATTACTTTTAATTAATTAATTAATTTTTAAGCATATGAAATGAAATATATCAATCAAATAATTTATTTGCTCTAAAATATTTCAAAATTTTGTTTTGCAAGCATTTAAAATAGAATAGTAAATTTTGGGAAATGCATCATGGCATTGCCATCAAACAAAAGCATCCAAATTTTATATGTGAGGATAACTAGGCCTTCTTCTCTCCAATTTGATTAGGACATCATGTCCTTTTGATTGTTTTTTTTTCTTTTTAATCTTTTTAAAGTATGTTTGATAATTTTATAAGAGATGTATGATTACTATAATTGTCGAATTTGAACTTGATGGTAACAAGATGGAGGGTTGATTCTTCCACTAATTTTAAAGATGATTAAATTCATTTATTTTTTATTTTTTAAGTTATGGATAAAGAAACTACAAGTGTAATAAATAAAATTTATTGTGTCAGAGATAAAAATTTACATAAATTGATATTCTTTCGTCAATTGAACCAATGAAGAGTAGAGTCTCAAACAAGATAAATATTCAAACATGATTGATTCTAATACTAGTGTTATGATTTCATTCATGCAAATATTTTAGAAGAAAGTATTCCAAAAGTTGAAACATAATTTGAAACGGAGTAAGATATTTATAATTTTTGCAATATGTATGTCAAAGAAGTAGGATTTAGTATTCAAAAATCTAAATGACATAATGATAAGTAAGTTAACTAAGTAGATAAGGGCTTTTGTTGTTCTTGTCAAGGAATTTGAAAGAAAGGATAAAAGAGATGATGATATCAAATGTCATCATTCGAAAACAATAAGATTTGAATGCTTAACTGTATTAAAGGCTTCATGATATAATGATAAATTATATGTTACAAATTTTATTATTAAGCATACACATGGATTGACTTCTTTTATAAGTGTATGTTTTTAATATCTCAAAAGACAATTAATTTCACTCAAGCTACTAAATGAAATTGCTGATCGCTTAGGAATAGCACTAAAAGATAATGTTGAGTTTTTGACAGGAAAAGTTAGTGGACTTGAGAATCTTGGATTTTATCTTAAGGATTGCAATAATTACTTACGTATTAAGAGGACGAAAATAATGAAAGTTGGAAATACTTATGATATCTTAGTGTATCTACAAAATACGTAATATGATGATTTTAATTTTTCTTAGGCAATACAAGTTGTTCGTAATGATCTCATAGCAAATATTTTCTAGATAGAGGATAAGATGAAATTATATTATGAATCTTTTAAGGATGTGGTATATTTTGGTATAACATATAAAAAAATAAAAAGGATAGACTTTTTGCATTATTTGTATGGTGTTAATCATTATAAGCAAAATGTTATCTTTGGTGTAGTATGGTCATATGATGAAATACGTGATATTTTTATGTGATTATTTGATTCATTTTTAAAAGCAATATTGTCAACAAAAAAGGCAATGGCGATTCTTACAGATTTAGATGCTATAATAGGGAAAGCGCTTACTTCACAATGGCTTGAAATATATCATCATTTGTGTGTGTGTGTGTGGCATATGTATCAAAATGCAATGAAGCATTTTAGTAATGCATTTCAAAGATGCAGTAATTTTACTAAAAATTTTAGCAGTTGTGTTTATGATCATGACGAAGAGAAAGATTTTTTAAATGCATGGGATCATTTGCTTTTAACCTTTGTTGAGAGGAATTGGAAGTTTCTAATACAATACATAGGTTTAAATGCCTTTTGGTATAAATAGCAGTGTTTATTTTTAGTAATCTAAATAGCAGAACAACAAGCAACAAAAAATGAGATAGTGTTTCAACAGGAGCAATCTGCAAAGAATGGCCTTTATCATTTATCTTGGTAACTGAATATTTATCTAGGGGTTTAAACAACTTATGTACTTAGTATACATCACTTCATTATCATTTTGATTGTTCTTTGTCTATAAGCTAAGTTTTTGTTGATGATGTGATGATTTTTACTAATGGCAATCGTTTAGCTCTACAAAAGATCCTTAATTTTTTGCAAGAATATCAAATATCTGAGCAATGCACAAATCACCAGAAGAGTTGTTCTATAACAACTAATAATATTGCACTTTTCAGATAGTAGATAATTTCTCGAGCCATGGGCTTTACACATAAAGTCCTACCAGTTACTTACTTAAGAACTTTACTTTATAAAGGCCATAAAAAGGTACTTTTATTTTATGCTTTAGTTACTAAAATCTGTGATCGAATTTTAAGATGAAAGACTAAAATTTTGTCCTCTGGAGGCCACATCATTCTTTTAAAAAGTATTTTTACTTCATTGCCGATATACCTTCTTCAAGTGCTTAAACCTCTAGTTAGCATTGTTGAAAAAATTGAGAGATTGTTTAATAGTTTCCTATAAGGCGGTTTCAAAGAGTACAAATGGATTCATTAGACAACTTGGTCTAAAATTGCATTACTTTGCTTGGAAGGTGGGTTAAACATTAAAAGTTTAACGGATGTTTTTTAGGCTTTTATGATTAAGCTATGGTGATGTTTTTAAACTTATAATAGCCTTTGGACACAATTTATGGCAGATAAGGATTGTGTTGGCCAAATACCTCAACATACCTTAACTAAACATCATGATTCACAAGCTTGGAAGCGCATGATAAGAGGCCGCAATGTTACGGAGCAAAATATCAGGTGGCAGATTGGTAAAGGGGAATTATTCTTTTGGCATGATTGTTGGATGGGAGAGCATCCACTAGTGACACTTTACCCATCCTTTATTACTTTAATGACTAAAGGTTGTTATTTTTATAACAAAAATAATTTAGATGTGGAAAAACTGAAAGCTGATGCTACCAGATTCTGAGATTGATGATATTTTGAGGATTCCTTTTGATAACTCTAGTGAAGATATTGCTTATTGGGCACCTACATCCAAGGTGAGTTCACCACTAGAAGTGCGTAAGAATTAATTCAACAACGACAACTCGTCAATCACTTATGTTAGCTCACATGGCATAAAAGTATACCACTCATTGTTTCATTTTTCTTATGGAAGATGGTAAATAATTGGATATCGATGGAGCTACAAAAGAATACTAAAAGTATTCAATTAGGTTCTAAGTGTCTTTGTTGCAATTCAGAAGAATCACTATTGCATATTCTTTAGGATAGTCTAGTGACAAAATAGGTTTTGAATTATTTTATAAAATTATGTTGAATCTATATTATTAATCCTCATAATGTTATGCGTATTATCTGGACATGGTTTTACTCAGAAGAGTACACTAAGCAGGGACATATTTGCATTTTAGTGTCATTATTTATTTGTTAGTTCTTGTGGGTTGAACGTAATGATGTGAAACACAAAGACCTTGGTATGTATCATTATAGGATAATATGCCGTATTATGAAATCATGGAACCAGTTTTATTAAGGTAATCTTTTGAAAAAATGGCAATGGAAAGGAGATACTCAAATTGCAAAATTATGAGGTTTTGAATTCCCGACAGAACAGTGCATACCACTTAAAATAATCGGTTGGATCAAGTTATTGATAGGTAAAGGAAAGTTGAATGTTGATGGTAGTTCCAAGGCTAATTGTTAAATTGCAGTTAGAAACAAAGTGATTTGAGATCATATAGGTACCCTTATCATTGGTTTTTCTAAAAATCTTCGACTAAATAATTTTTTAAAAGGCAAAATTATTAGCATTATATGGAGATTTACTTTTATGCCAAGAATATAATGTGTCCAAAGCATGGATTGAGATAGATGTTATAGTGGTGATTCATATGATTAAGGAAGGAAGTAAAGCTCCTATGATATTTGCTATTTGCTTGAGTCTATAAGGAAATGTTTGCATAATTTTCTTATAGAATTTCGCACATGCATTGAAAAGTTAACTAAGCCTCAAATTATTTGTCGAACCAGGGTTATTCACATTGAAATCTTCAAGTGCTTTCCCAAGCTTAAAGCAAATTACGTGGAATTTTATACTTAAATAAACTCAATTTACCTTATATTATATTCAAATAAATGTAAAGGAGTAGTACTCTTAATTTATTTTTTACTTGTCTTAGATTCATGTAAAAAAAGTATATTACTTAACCAGTGCATTCATAAAAAATATGCAAAAGAAGTAATACCTTTATTAAATATTCTTTTCTCAATATTTCATGTAATTCTGAAAGTACGGTTTATATCCGCTCCCTTATGTACATAATTTTTGTTTTATTTATAAAACTTTAACAAAGTAGCTAGCCTTGCCAGAATTTTTAATATAAAATAATATTATTTAAATAGACTAATCAAGTCACATTAGAGATTAAATTTTAGATATATTAACCAGAACAAATCGCGGACACCTTTAGTTTATCTTACATTGTCAAGATATTCATAGCGGTGCATATAATTAAGAAAAAGGTTTTCTTTGAAAGTCCTGTGCATTACCATTAGGAGTAAATTAATTAATAAATATGATGTTTATTTGACATTTTATTTCCATAAAAGTTGATAAGAAAAGAAAAGTAACTTTATTGGGAAGGAAAGGAACAGGATAAGTAACAATATAGTAAAGGTTAATTCAAAATTTTCGATATTACCATTATTTGGTAATAGATAGAGATTTTTTTTTGTTATTTTTGGCTCACGGGTAAGAAAATTTTAACTGACATTTCCTTTTGATTTTCGAATTTATTTGTCACTAAATAAGGGAAATTAATATTATTTTTCCTTTCTCTCTTATTCTTATATTTTTTGTCATGTCATTACCAAATAAGAGTGTAAAAATTTATTAATTAATTTAAATATTATTTAATTAATAAATTATTAATTTATATATTAATTAATAAAAAATTAATTTATAAAGATATTTTTTATCTTTTTATCTAATCATTGAATTTAATACATATATTATGTATTGTGATTATATAAATATTACTTAATCATTGAATTACGAATTATTCGTAACGAGTAAATTATTGAAAACGTCACGAAAAACGACAAAAAAAATAAAATTGAAAATGATAGTTTTGTATCAAAACTTGTCTCGTATAAAGATGCACTCAAAGCAATAATCATATTAAAATAACATTTTCTTACAATATGAAAATATTATATCAAAATTTCTTAATGCAATAAAAAAAATAAAAAATGAGATCTAAAAACACACCAATTTCAAGAAAAAAAACACGTATTCCAATTTCTTGGAAGTCTGTAGGTGTGCATTGGGATTGAGTTATATGAGGTGCCTCGACAAAAATATCCAGCTTAGAGGAAGAAACAACAAAAAGAACATCCAGCCCAGAATAAGAGGGGTTGGGCCACCAGGGTGCTTCCTCTGCTGTTGCCGTATCGAGGATAGGAAATGGCAATAGGATTACCGACTAATCAAGCCTCTTTGCCACAAATTTTAATCTTAATTTGTGAAATTGATCAAAACTTGCTCCTCCTTGCTTTGTCCTCTTTCTATCCAGATTAAGATATGATTGAATGATATATTAAAATTGATCAAAGTTGCGTTTCTATGTTGTTATGTTTAATTTCATGTAAGCTACATTGGGCTCAAAAAGGCAGTGTATATCACACATCTCACAATCACCGGAAAAGAAGGCTGCAATGGAGTAAGAAAATAAAGCATTTTAATAAAATTGGTTGGTAAATCAGAGAGGCTCAGAATATAAAACAGCTTCTCAATCAAGAATTTTCTGAAGCAGAACTGGCAGTAAAAGCTGTATATGAATCCTCATAGCCAAGTACGTAAGTAGATTTTAAAAAACATAAAAAGGAAGACAGAGAAGTTGGCTCATATCAAGAAATTCAACCATTTTATTGCTTTATATATGCTTCATCGATTGCTCTCAGAAGTGCAGATAAAACTAAATGTAATCATCGCCAATGAATAAATAGACAAGACGGAAAGTATAGCGGATGATTTTAGAGGCGAAATCATAGAAAGACATGCCCCCACCTGTAACACCGCCAGATCCAATATTTGCCTCTATGACTAACCTAGTTTCCAATGAATCATTAAATCTTGAAAATAAGCTAAAGGTGTAATGAGGCAAAAACAATTACTGTAAATATGATTAGCAGTAATACATAGATTGA